GCCACTTCTTTTGTTAAAAAATATTGATCGTTAACCCATTTATGCAGTTTATCATCTCTACACATAACCTTGTTAATCTATTCCACTTGATGTGATATTACATATTTAGTTTATCTCTATATTAATTCATTTATTTCTGACCAACATGGCAAAGTGCAATTTTATACAAGGAGTCAGGAGAACTGTATAAATTGATATTTTATCTTTAAGGGATTGTAAACGAGAGATTTTAAGTGATACTTTCAGTGAAAATTGCTATAATCGATTCACAACAGTAATTGTAATTTTCTCTTATCAAAGTTCTTCATTTCTCAGAGAAAGAAAAAACGGAGTTTGAGTCGTTAAAGGCTTTTATAGCGTAGTGTCACTAAAAATTATCTTAACAGTCCCTTATTTGGAAAAATATTTTTTTCTCTTGTTTACTGGCTCTATTTGGAAAAATATTTTTTTCTCTTGTTTACTGGCTCTACACATACCATTATTTGTCACCAAAAATGTCTTATAAATTTGTTTTTTTTTGCTCTCTCTGAAGTTGATTAATGTTTTTATTTAATTCTTCTCAAAACTGTTAAATTCAAAGATACTCGTTTAGACCAATAAACTTAAGATTTAGAATGATTGTGATTGATTTTATAGAATTTTGCTGTAGTTGTGTGCTAATGAAATTCTAGATTTACATGTTTCTACGCTCTGTTAAAAAGAGGTTCGAGTCAAATTATGGACGGCTAATCTACACAACTTGAAATATGACAGATAACGATGGAATTATATTTTATGAAATGTAGTTAAGAATTTTGTATTTAATTTGAAGGAACTGAAAGCTTTATTTCAAATGACTCTCAAAACAAAGATAACAACGTTACCCCTTAAACTTAGTTAAACTTAGTCTTAATTAGATATCCATATTGTAGTTTTTGAAAACTGTTCATTTTCATCTGTGGGTCTTCAGCAAATGATTTGTGCATTTCTGTTAAAGAATCTAGAATATCAGGACTCTTTTTCGCGTCAGAAAAAAAAACATTATCTTCCACACGTTTCATCAGACATATTGTTTCAACGGTACGTTGTTGTAAATAGGTAATTGCAATTTGACATCTTTATATGGAGGGTCACTTGGAATTACACTTACAGTCCCTTTAATTAGTGTTTACTGAGCTGTTAAACTGCAGCTCATGACTTGAGCATTTATAATTGAACATTTAAGAGAAATTTATCTAATTCGTTCAACAGTATCTATGTAGCTATGATTTAGCCCCGATTTCTCAGGATAGCTAGGCGAAGTAGTAGCATCTAAATCACAGCTAGTAAATGTCTTACGAATCGAATAATTATTAAAATAAATTATGCAGTTTTAGTCCCCTGTAAGGCCATACTCCGTAGTGACTGAGAAGTGAAAATGCAAATCAGAAAAAAAATATATATTTAAAAAATTTTCATTTTTTATTTAATAACTTTTAGTTAAAAGAATCCAACGAATCCAATGTGGTTTCATGCGGGGGTAATTAAGATTAACCTTCTTTATTTTTCTTACAAAAAAAGCAAAAATTACATTTGATAATAAATAATTCAGAATTTTAACATATCACAACACAGCCAGCATATTTTATACTTAAACAATAACTAAATAAGGGTAGATATATATAACTATTAATATTAAGCTAATACGGAGTTGGACCTCATTTAAAGATGAGAGTTCGGAGTAAAACATAATTAGAAGCTGATAGTTCGGTGTGAAACCTTATTAGAAGCTGATACTTTGGAGTGAAATCTTTTTCGAAGCTGATATTTCGGAGTGAAACCTTATTCGAAGCTGATAGTTCGGTGTGAAACCTTATTAGAAGCTGATACTTTGGAGTGAAATCTTTTTCGAAGCTGATATTTCGGAGTGAAACCTTATTCGAAGCTGATAGTTCGGAGTAAAGCCTTATTAGAATCTGATAGTTTGGTTGGAGTGAAACCTTTAGACGCTGATAGTTCGGGGTGAAACCTTTAGTACTAGCTGATACTTCGGAGTGAAACTTAATTACAAGCTGATAGTTCGTAGTGAAACCCAATTAGAAGCTGATAGTTGAGTGTGAGGAGAGTGAGACCTGAATAAAAACTGATAATTTAGAGTGAAACCTAATTTAAAGCTGATCAATTGGATTGAAACCTAATTAGAAGCTGATATTTTAGAGTTAAACCTAAGTTTAAGTTAATAAATTAGAATCTGCAGATATTAATGAGCGATACCTAATTTTAACTTTTTAATTGATGGACGATAATTCGGAATGAACAATAGCTAAACAAACATGAAATATGATCTATTCACATCATTAAATGTCAAATAGTCATCTAACATTAAGCTACAATGTATGATTAATGATTATCAATCATTAAATCATTAACTATCATATCTACACATTTATTACGACGTTTACACATTACCATAACAAATTTAACCCGGACATTGATCATTACATATTTAACCATGAAGCAGGATCATATCACTCTGCACAGCTGCACATGATCATCAGACATTAAACCATGTAAGATGTAAGGTTGTCATAAATGATTAATCAGCAATGTTGATTCAACATATCCTATTTAACAGATACAGAGGATCATTACAAATTTAACTTTTCAATAAGATCATATCAAATTGAACAGCGGGGAGTCCATTTTGACAGATTTCTGGCGGGTAGACCGTTCTGCCAGATTGCTGGCGGGTAGACCTTACGGCCAGATTACTGGCGGGCAGACCGCTCTGTTTGATTACTGGCGGGCAGACCGTTCAATCATATTACTGGTGGGCAGACCGTTCAATCATATTACTGGCGGGCAGACCGTTAAATCATATTACTGGCGGCCAGACCGTTCAATCATATTACTGGCGGCCAGACCGCTCTGTCTCCATGAGAGCCTCGCGCACCAAAATCCTCGCGTGAACAATACCTGCAAATTCATATTACAGCTAATAATGTTATTAAAAGCTGAAATTCTATTTTTTATTCTGCACTTTTACGGAAACTGAAGCAATCACTTTGATAATAGGTATTAAAGGGAGCGTTCGCGAAAAATTAAGGGGGAATGGATTGACGTAGAATTGAATTCGATATCGATTATATCGATCGCTACTAATTTTGCTACTATCTGTTGAAATCTAAGTGGAAAAGGGCATTAACTATATAAATTTGTATGGACGCTACGCCTCAAGTGTTAAACGTTTAAAACATTTTCTCTTCATATACGCAACAGATAGAAGAGAAATTAGTAGCGATCAAGATCGGATTAATTTCGATATCAGCCTGTTCTCCCTTTATTTTTTTGCAAACACCCTCTTTCTTTCTTAAATCTAAACAAACAAACAAATGAAATAAATCATAATTATGAAATAAATTAAATTTTCTCTTACTTCTTTTCAACCGCTCTGCACTGGACTTACTGCCTGCATAGGAAGGCCTGGAACAGTTGCAAGGTCAGGAAAGCTTGATAATTATATTTGATGCAAAAAAAACTTTTTATTTCATTACCTTATGTCCTTCCCCAGTTCCTCAATGACTACCAATAGCTGGCTAAAATAAATAAAAGGTAAGATTTTAGATTATTCAAATCGTTAAATGGAGCTTCAAAGCAAATTTTGATGTCTCTTCCTTTCACGATTTTCTTCATGTACCACCTTCATCTACTTTTTATTTATCAAAGACAAGCAAGAACATGTCCGGAATCGGGCTCATTTTAGCTGGAAAATGTTAAAATTTAAAGTAGTACGAAACCGTATCTAAGAACTTCTGAAATTATCTGGAATATATATAATATTTATTTTTAAACCTGTATTTTGAAGACTGCTGCAGATTGTTGGTAAACGTTGAAGTATTATAGTTGGACTGCTGTTGTTGAGAAACTAAATATAAAGCATTAGCATTTAAAGGGAGTGTCTGGCTAGACATGGTAGTTGAGCTGAGAGTGCAGTATTGTACAGAACTGAGAAGTTATTTAGAAATCATTTGAGACCTATATACCTGTATTCGTAGAGTAAAGGTTGTAACTGTAAAAAAATTCATTATTTGATATATTATCGCATTTTTATAAAAAATATTACATCTTGATGAAAATAAAAATATCGACAAAGTTTTTAACAAAAAATAATGATTCCCTGGACTCCAAAGTTAGAGGTTTCTCGTATGGTTTTGGATCACGTTCTCTCTGGTAGTTAAATTTTTCCTGACAACAAAAATATTTTTTTTAAGGATTACATCTGCAAGATGTTGCATTTCTTAGGTTAAAAGTGTGATTATTCCTTTAATATATTTGTCTGCACTAGAAATGCGCAAGTCACTTTTGTATAGAAACCAAAGATTAAAAAAATCAGCTTAAAAAAATTTAAAACATATATAATCCATATTTAATCAGACAAAGCTTTTACTAGGGTACCGTTGTGAATAGGGCAAATTACTATCTTGAGAGAATCACTTGATATTACGCTTATACAATCCCTTTAATAAGTTAATTTTCAAGCAAGTAAATTAGTCGTACGCTTCCTATTCCGCAGTTGTATGGGTCCTATTATGGCTCCTGTTTCTGTGCAAAAGGGGTGATGGTTAAGCTAATGCAGGGGAAGAAGGTTCCACACCGTGATTTGGCCCAGACCGGACACTGAGTGTCAGGTTTGGGCCAACTGTGATAAGATATCTTTATTAACTGTTCATATTTTTAAATCTAAGTCCAGAAGTTAATACTCAATACAGAAGTTTATACAACAAAAATTTAAATATTATATAATTTTAGAAAATGTCCCATTTTTGAAGCAATGCAAAGTTTCGGCGCAAAATATGCTTTGGAACATGCCGCGATTTTGAGACATCTCACAGATTTCAATCAACGATAGTTTTCAAGCATCTACATATTTGGTGTGTCAGATTTGGAAAATAAGCACGATTTGGAACTTTATTTCCCTGTAAAGGTGGTGTATACTGTATATATACCTTCGTCTGAAAGCTTGTAAGAGCTGGGAAGTTGATGAGCCCCGAGTACTGCTGAGGAATGTTAGAGTACTGGGCAAATTGGTTTAACTGACTGCAAATATAATTTGGAATGAATAAGGGAGATGTCACGAATTTTGAAAGGGTCGTGTATAAATAATAATCTTCAAGACAAATCTAAGACGTCATACTTTTATACTGTATCAACTCCTAAAATGCTCAGGTTTCAGCCTATAGGAGGTATAAACTTTTTCCTTTATATACCCTTTAATGTCGACTTCCTATTCAACAGTTTTCTGGTTCTTTCAACCTCAAATATTTTATTGTATTATTTCTTAGAAATATTTTAGATTACAGTTACTTGTTCCACTCGAAAATAAAAATAAGTGTTCCCAAATTTTTACATTTTTCAGAAGTTCGTGCGATTATATCAATACAATGAAGACAACAAGATCTTTTCTAATTTCAAGTTACAAGCAATCATTCTCTCAACAATTATTTGTTTATGTGAGATCTACAATGCTGTTTATAACAACTTGATATAAATTAAAATTAAAAATCAAAAGTTGTCTTTATAGTATTTAGTATAATAACCTCCCACTGTATTTAAAGTAAAAGTTAATAATTATACTTTGTAAATGATTTTGGAATGTTGTTGAGTGCTGTATGGAGATCTGGGGAGTTTCCATACCTGTAATTATTTAGTGATGTAATTAAATATTTCAGTTCGTTTTTATGCTCAGCTAAAAATTTACTTTTTTATTAAACAAACTTTTTATTCCTCCACAGAAGATTATTAAGCTACCCATTTTCTCCTTCCTATTAATCTTTAACATAAATTGACTAAACCCCCCAAATAAAGTCCATGAAGGAAATATATATATATATGCATCATTTATATTTGTCTAAAGCAAAATTACATGAAATAATATAAAAGTTTACAATTTAATACTAATACTCTTTTCTCTGGATATCGCATTTTATGATTGACATGGTTTGCCACAAAATAGGTGCACCGTGCAATGCAAGACTTTTACCATGAGTATAGTTTAGTTATTCAGAGATGGTTTTTAGAAATGGAGTTTCTTGGTCCCAGTCTATAGCGTTTTTCGATTTCTAATAATGTGGTAATGGTCTTGAGCCGATTTCAAAAGGGTGAAGGATATAAATAATAGTAACTGTATATTTCCCTGATTTTCACTTCTTTTAAGATATCTAGGGTTACTCACAAAGAATTAGACTTCAAGGACGACTGTACGGAATTTACACCGTCTGTTTCTTAAAATTCATACTGAATTCTTACCTTTTTGCCAAATCATTATATTCTTAACAACTGTACTACTTTGAAAATTTCTAATTTTTCTGACTTTAATTTCCAATTTCATTTTTCTTCCCATTTTATGATTTGAATTTATTTTTGAGGATTTCTACAGGGTGTCCCAAAAAACATGGGAATTCAGTGACGAATTCGATATCGTCTTTTCAAATAAGTCTTCGATTTTGTATAGTGATACCTACTGAGAAAGCTGTAATCTGTAAGAGTTTCGTCTGCTATGTTTACATTTTGTTTGTTTATGTTTTGACTGCAACCGGTTGTACTTAGTAAAACAAGAAAATTACAATATACAAACAGAGTAAACTTGTCCGTATTCACTGTTCATCTTTCGGAGACATTATAGACACATCTTTGTAGTCTTTTACCCTTTTCATAAAATAAACTCTAGCAGACATAATAATATTATGGCTTTTGAAATTAGGTATTACAATGCTAATTCATAACAAAGACGATATCGAATTCGTCACTGAATTCCCATGTTTTTTGGGACACCCTGTAGAAAAAAAAATATTTTTTTTTATTACAAGAAGCTATATCTCTAAACATGGCAATGAGGGAAGATTTGTAAAATATGTCTTTGTTGTTTACCTGGAGTCAGGCCAGCAGAATGGAGAGGATGCAGGAGTAGGAGTACCTGGACCTCCTGGAGTTCCTGGACCACCTAGGCTTGGAGAATCTGATGCTCTTGAATCTGTTTCTGCCAAATCTATTAGGGATACAGACAGATTCATTTCTGAAGAATGGAGAAAAAAATGTTTTTTTAAAACAGAATTGTACATTAACTTATAAGGTTCCGCTCAAGATACAAATTTATACAGTAAGAAACATGAAACTGGGGAATAGGAAGACGACATTAACGCAATTTATTGAAGTATTTGATCAAGTTACAAATGAAATATTTTCACATGACGTTTGAAAATCAGTTTTCAATGAGCTGTGCAAACTCCATAATTGCGGTGTCTCATTTATTTTCAAATCATAACTTGAGTCTAAAAGTCGCTTTCTATAGAGATTCACGCCTGAAGCGCAAAAAACTGCAATGTGAATCTAAAATTTTATAATGATCGTACTTTGTAATATAGATTATCAGCTGATGGATGATAAATAAACCTTGACGAGGAATGTGGGAAATAGAACCTCCGAGACCGGAGAGTCCAGACTCCAGAGAAGAAATTGTCGAGGACAGATATAAAGTGATAGCTGGTAAGTAACCGAATTTTGCTTAAGGTAAAACTAAGGAGCTAAATAAATAAACAACATGGAAGGCTTTGATTATTGACCAATAGAATATTTGAAACAATCAGATTTTCGTTATAAACTTAAATTTAAAAAATATATTTTAAAATCTACAAAACTCTGTCACCCCCCGATTAACATATTTTAAAATTGTTCGCGGCAAAGACTCACAAGTCACAATAACATGGTTTCTCTCGTAACTCTCATGGGACATGAAGTTGCATAAATAATCAAGATTGCGCAGTTCTTACACTATTACCGTAATAGTTGCTCACACATTCTTTAATACAGCCCGGGCGTCCCATATACAGCCCGGTCGTCCCACATATATCCCGGTCGTCCCATATCATATTGGAGTGTTAGGTATATTCCTAGAGAACGATTTTTGGACCCCCCCAGCCCCCCCCCCTTCCGATCAATTTTGTACATGGGTCTGACAGGAACTGTCTTAACTTACCCGTGGCCGCAGCGCTCGGCCCCCTAGCCTGTCCTAGCCGCAGCGCTCGGCCCAGAAAGTGTCTTAATTAACCTAACTTGTGGCCGCAGCGCTCGGCCCCCTAGCCCATCCTAGCCGCAGCGCTCGGCCCAGAAAGTGTCTTAATCTAACCTAACCCTAAATAACAAAAAAAAAATAATAATAAATTTGCTAATAAATAAATGGTCATGTATAAAATTGATAGGAGGGGGGGGGGCCTAAAATTGTTCACTAGAACAGACCCGGAGTGTTAATGGCCTCTAAATTATGATTTTTGGGACTAATAATCAGAAATTGATTTAAGAAGAATGACTGAATTTGTAAAATTGTTTAAGGCCAATGATATAAAGTTTATTTTGCAAGTTTTTCGAGTTTTATGTGCGTATTTTGGCGTGAAAACTTGTAGAAAATCCAACATGATTTGGGACGCTCTGTATAATAGTTTTACGACATTTTTGATCGATAAAAACGGAAGTTAGATTTGATTTTTTACTAGTTTGTTTGCAGAAACAAGATGAACGGCTGTGGAAGAGCAGTTTCCGTAGTCCGTAGATATTCTACTGGAGCCAGAAATGATGTTTTTATCGTAGGTAAGATAAGAGATCATGGTATTTTCCTAGAGAACGATTTTTGGACCCCCCCCCCCCCTACTATCAAATTTGTACATGGATCTCATATGTAACACATGATATAATTGGTCATGTGGCTGCAGCGCCCGGCCCCCTAGCCTGTCCAGTCGCGGCGCTCGGCCCCCTAGCTTTCTTACCCGCAGCGCTCGTCCCAGAAATTATCTTAACATAACCTAGCCCTAATTAAACTAATAAAACCAATTAAATTATATAATTATGTAACCACCCCCTCCCCTCAGTAAATTTTATTTTACTGCGACTGTTCCCTATTGTTTTTTTCGTCGAGGTCTTTAAGTTCTTTTCTCTGGGTTATGGATTCCTTCTGAACTAATTAACTGTTCATATATACTAGAACGTTATGATGCTTCAGTCAGCTGATAACTTTAGTTAATATTTTGTATTTAAAATGTTTAAATGTAATTTATTTTTGGATTTGTCCTAGAGAACGATTTTTGGCCCCCCCCCCCCCCCCCCCCTCCTGTCGATTTTGTACATGACCACTTTTTTCATCAAAATTATTACATCAAAATTATTATTATTTATTTTTTTATTATTTCTGGGCCGAGCGCTGCGGCTAGGACAGGCTAGGGTGCTGAGCCCTGCGGCTAGGACAGACTAGGGGGCTGGGTGCTGTGGCCACATGACCAATTATATCCATGTGGTGCATATAAGATCCATGTTCAAATCGTTCTCTAGAAAAATTACCATATTTATTTTCTAAGTCAGAGTCGTGATGGATAAAATACTTCAGATTTATTCAGTAATTTTCATAAATTAAAAAGAAAGATTAAATGAGCAAACTTCTGTGCGTTTGGAATAATCTGGTCTTTAGTCAAAATAAACATCGATTCAATCAATCATTAGTCCTTATGACAGGTCACCAGGCGCGCAACTAAATGATTGCCCTTAGCCCCCAACTTTCTGAATGTCTAGTTGCGCGCCTGTAGCTCACCTTCCTTCCGGTATGGATTATGTTTTTAACTTATCCTAAACTGATTTATTTTGGGTTTGTTTCTCCAGTTTATCCAAGTATTTCCTGTAAAATGTACTTGATGTATCCAGGTGCTGCTAGAACCCCTATGGGCGGGTTTAGAGGCTCCCTCTCCTCTCTAACTGCTCCTCAACTGGGAGCTTTAGCTATCAAAGCAGCTGTTGAACGAGCTGGATGTCCGTTGGAAGCTATTGACGAGGTTTATATGGGAGCTGTTCTTCAGGTAGGGAGGGGATATAATATTGCTACCTTGTAGGGACAAGGTAACAATACTTTTGAGGAGGTTCACATGCATCCTAGAGTTGTACATCATTACATTTAATTTATATGTACGTCCCCTAAAATGATTATAATCAGTTTTGTATTTAAGATGAAAACTTAATTCTGGTGAATAAAATGTTATAAGAAGATTTTCGCTTTTTCACTGATATAAAATATATATGTACTAGGCTATCTTCTATTTAAATTGTGAACATTTTCTTTTTGTTTACATTTAAAAACAAAGAAGAAAATAATTTTGCGGATTTTAAAGAATTTAAATTTTTTTACAAAATTTAAAACTTTTAAACACTTTTTTTTAAATTTGTATCATTCATAAACCTTCCCTGGGGCTCCGTGAGGTCCCACAAAGAATTTGGGCCCGATCGGTTCAGCCGTTTTGACGTTTATTGGATACAAACAGACAAACAAACAAACAAACAGACAAGCCAAATTTATATATAGATGTATACAGGGTAACCCATAAAGGATAAGATTTTAGAGACGACTTTATGGAATGTTTGCAGTCAGTTTCTTATGGTTCTCTGCAACTGTAAACTCTCTTTGCTCAATCATTAAATATGTAATTTATCAGCTATACCAAAAGGTAAAAGATTAAATTAAACCATGATATTGTCATATTTCAAGAGTTTCAGGTCGTCTTTACAGTCTCATTCTTTGTGTGTAACCCTGTATAATGTTAATGTTATCTTTAACAATAGTTGGTCAAACGGCCATCGCCGGGCACTTCAGCTAGCTAATAATAAATGAACAGAATAATGTTTTCAGGCAAACATGGGTCAGGCTCCTGACCGTCAAGCGGCTCTGTTCGCCGGTCTTCCCACATCTGTTCCTTGCACTGCGGTCAACAAGGTAATATTTTACAGAGGTGGGGGGGGGGGCACTTGTCTCAAGGGTATTTTCTTTGTCAACATCTGTTTTTAATCATCTGAGATCAGTTGGGGTTTCATGAAGCTCCACAGAGAATTAGAGTGACTGCAACCAGTGGCGCAACTAGGTGGGGGGCAAGCCGATTCCCCCCCCCCCCCTCTCAGCATGTTTCACTACTAACAAATTTTCTTCGGCGCTTCGCGCATCATTTCTAATAGAATTTCTAACTATTTTTTCGTTTTCGACTTGAAGAAAGTGAGCTAGCCATTTTTAATTTATTCCCTAAAAAAACTGTATGTAACTTCTCATGAGTATTACAATACATAACTCATTTAAGGTTATACAACCTGACAACCTAAATAACAAGAAATAAGGATTAAATCGGACTATTAGGAATTTTGCAATCTGTAAGAGGAAAACAGTGATAAGCACTGGCAAAAAAGGACAGAGGGACTTCGATCAGAAAGACTATTATGGATTATGGACAGACCAGAGAAAGTAAAGTACTGTCAGAACTACTTATACTACTTAGGACTTCACAGACCTAAGATTAAGGGACTTTAGAGTGGATGAATTACAAAAAACTTAATATGACTTAATACAGGGACTAACAGACACTAAGAAATACATGAAAAGACACTAGAACAGAAATCTTTGGCTATTGACGCACATGTTTAATTATTTACTGATGTCGTTCATTTTAAAGCTGTTTTTAACACGAAAACAAGCCATGGATATTAAAAGAAATTGGTATATCATTGAGGATAAGGCCAAGCCAACCCTTCAACAATTAAAAAAGGAGTTTTTTTACTTAAAATCCTGTGCTTTTTTTTGGAACAAATTTTCTACAGGCGGGCTAGCCCCCCCCCCCCTGTACCCCCGTAAAAAAATCATCTATCAATTCCCCCCATCACAAAAGTGCTAGGTGCGCCACTGTTTGGAATGTTAATGCAATTCACATTTGTAATTGTAATCTATTATTTTGAGTGGCATGTCCGATTCACAGCAATAATCGTTCATTATTTTCAATTAAACTTTCTCTACCTGCCGAAACAATGGGAGGAGTAAAATAAATGACTTCTTCCCGTCCCCAATAATGATACAACGAAGGTGTAAAGGGAATGCCCCTCTTAAGAAGAAGAGTCACTTGAAATTACGACAGTCCCTTTAAATTCGGTTATAAAGTTTCGTTAATGATCCCTTTAAAAAGTTTTCTACTTACAGTATGTAATTTTAAGGTTTGTGCTAGTGGCATGAAGAGTATTATGCAGGCTTCCCAATCCCTACAGCTGGGACAGAATAATGTTATGGTCGTAGGAGGTTAGATTGGATCTATTTACTAAAACATGTTATATACTTATTTTTTCAAAATACGTGAAATGAACATCTTTCTCCGTTAAAAATACAAAGTTATAATTCAACAATATAGTTGCCTGACTTTCTCCGAAGAGAGCGGACCTATGAGCTGCGGTCCCAGAATTACAGTCTGGGGAAGCGCTGTGTTTAGTTGCATCTTGTATCCTACAGGGGAAGTAAGAAATGTACATAGATTAAAACAAGACTTCATCTTCAGCCTGGTGTAACTGAAAGAAGAAATTTAACCCCTGGTGAATATACAAGCTCAAACTTTTGGGTAGCAGTCTATATTGAACTATAGGCTGAACCAAGTTGGTTAAAATTTATCGAGGGAACCAATGGTTACCCTGAGAGTGACAAGGGCTAATATAAGTGTTTTAAACCCTGAGAAACGCTGAGTACTTCAGCTAGTATCTATTATTTACACCTAATTCTTAATTCCCTTTTTTCATTAATTTTTGTGAAGGTATGGAGAGTATGTCCAATGTACCCTACTACATGGCTCGGGGCGATACACCTTACGGAGGCATTACAATGAAGGTAGGAGGATTGTTTTTCGTTTATAAATGATTTGCCAGTCCATAGCTTTGTGAGCAAATTGCAAACTTTTTATCTTTTTGATCCTCCGGCCTCCAAAGAAAAAAAAATAAGCGATAAAAAAAAAGTCAATTACAATATTGGCGTTTGGGAGTCATCATTTTGTCAGAAATTGGTTTTTGAATATCACTTTTTCTATAAGAAAAAATTTTATCTGAAAAAAAATAAAAATGAAAACAATTTTCCCTGCTACATGGTTTTCTAAAAATATTAATAAAATCGTTTCTTAGGTTCTTATTAAGTTTATCAATTGTTCTTATTGATTTTTAATGAATTTTGGCCTGTTTTAATATTGAGCAATGATGTATTATATGTTTGTAGGATGGATTGGTAGGAGATGGTTTGACTGATGTATATAACAAGTTCCACATGGGAAACTGTGGAGAAAACACAGCTAAGTAAGTTAGAAATATAATTCTTAGTGTTGGAATTCCCTTGGTCCAGTTTTGTGTCAGATTTTTTTTACTATCAAATATTTAAAAGCGAAAAAGCATTTATTGTGTAAAATAACTGATGAAAAAGCTTTCACGTAAATAATACTTTGATTTGTAAAAAATACATTTTTTTAATTTTGACAACATTTTTAGGATTTCTTGATCATTAGTTTTTATATATTTTTTACGACTCCACGCTTTAAATACTTTTTTGAGTTTTTGATTATCTCCATTTATTTCTTTAGATATTGATTTTTTTTAACTTGAAGTAAGAAGTAAAAACGCATTTATTAAATGGGAAGTCTCATTTTTTGGTTAATTTTTGGTTTGAAGTAACTATTTTTTTCCTCCGTAAAGTATGATAGGAATGAGTTATTCTCCGCTATATTGGTTGAATCAATTAATTTCTGGTTAAAAAATTGTGAATTTTCCAATTCATGTCCAATATTAAAAAATATGCCAATCTTTTGGTTTTCTGTTCACGGTTTAAAAGAATATTGTATAAATAAATAAAGCAATAACAACTCCTGTTTAGAAATCTGAATATAAGCCGAGAGGAGCAGGATGCCTACGGGATCCAAAGCTATAAACGAGCAGCTGCTGCCTACGCAAACGGAGATATTAAGGAACTAACATTAACATCTCTTCATTGTCAGGGGTCCATCTTTTTTTGAAAACTGATTTTTACTGTCAATTTTTTAATTTGACACGGGACAGGCAAAGCTTTTCCTCTCATATCTAAAAATTTGGAGAAATACAATATGTCACTCCAAAAAATTTAAAGATGGATGTGTATTGAGTATTGGGCAGTCCATACATAATAATAATTGAACATGATCAAAAAGAAACATGGTACATTTTACCCCATGATTTTTTTAATGGCAAAAAAAGGAGAAGAAAACATAACTAAACCCCATTTTCTATTTGTTGCTTCAGGGTTATGAACACACCCGAACTGGATCAGGATCAAATTAGATCCTAAGGATTGTTTAGAAAATCCATGAAATTCTTGAAACTATATTAATCTGATGAGAAACGATAAAATAATGAAAGTGTCCCTGCTCTAGGATGAATTGATCCAAGTTGAGATTAAAGGGAAACGTGGCAAACCCTCAACCCACGTGACAGAGGACGAAGAGTTCAGAAAAGTAAATTTTGAAAAGTTTTCAAAACTTGGAACAGTTTTCCAGAAGGACGGAGGAACCGTTACTGCAGGTGATAATATATCTGTTTTTTGGAAGCGTATTTTCAAGCAAAGATGGCAATGTCCGATTCACAACGGTACCCAATTGTGAATTAGACAACATTGTTTTTGTTTCTTTAAACCGTTAAGTGACTTGCGGATTACTAATACTTGCTTATCAAACGCAATAGAGAAACTCACGGAGATAACTACTTTTCAAGTCAGGAAAACAACGGTATCTTCCACATTTTGAAGAGATTAAGGTTTCAAGGGTACCGGAGTAAATCGGACATTGCCATCTTTGCATTCGGAAATTGTTCAATTCAATATCTGCAAGGGAATACCGAAGTAATATTATAATATGCTCATTTAACAACTCTTTGCCAGAGCAAATATAATGGTAATCGATCTAAAAATTAGAAACTAGACATTTGTATTTCTTCAGAATAGACATTCAAGATGGATAATGAATGTTATATTTAAATCTTAATCTTCCTCTTTGTTACTCGTGAATAGGGTATGTAATTATTTAATGAAGGTTTAACCGAAAGAAGATCGAAAGTTCCTTTTGAAAAAGTTCTAAGATGTTATATTTTTAAAGGAATGATATGTTTTTTAGGTTTTAAACGGATTGTCGTTTTAATTTCAACTGACCATCCATTTATAGGGGGAATGTCAGATTCACAACGAGAACCTTGAACCTTTTCTTGATAAATAATGTGGAAGATATTGTCGTTTTTTTAGGTTTGAAAGTCTTAAGTTCTAGAAATCTTCTAGTAAGTTTTGTAGAGAAATCACAATTGGAAATAATTAGTTTTCAAAATTATTAACATTGATATTTAATTTAAAATTGATAAGACAATATTATTAAGGGTAGCGATGTGAGAAAGGCACGGCCATCTGTACATGGAGGTTCACTTAAAAATACGCTTACAGTCTCTTTAAGTTTGTATTATTCAGGAAATGCGAGTACACTCTCTGATGGAGCAGCTGCTACTGTTCTAATGACAGAAGAGGCGCTCAAGAAATACGGAGGAACACCGCTGGCAAGAATAATTGGTAAAATTATGATAAAATATCAAATTTGAACAAATCAGTTCGAAGAAATTAAGAATCAATTAAAATAGGTATCTTATCTATTTAAAGTTGCAATCTCTGTTTGTCTGTCTGTTTGTCCGATCTTAACTTTCGGACCAATTAGCCCCAATTTTTTTGGTGGGGAATTCGGTAGGACCATGGTAATTTTCTTAGCTTTGTTTTGAGATTTTAAGTTAAGTAGGTTCACTTCTTTAATATGGAAAAATAGCTAAAATTGCAAGTTTCGACAAAGCGCGGTTAAACGGTGGGCTAATTATGCTACCCTGGCGCTGGATTCCCAAGCTAGTTATTATATATAAAAAGAATCAAAAGAGGAAGTTCCAAGATAAACTAAATAAATAATTTGAAAGATAGAGAGGAAATATAGACAATATTGTTTTAATTGTCAAAAATAGTTATCAGTACATTTATAATGCTTAATAGTTAAAAATTTGAATTGGGATAAAAAAAAATATTTAATAGAGAAAAATAAAACTTACCGGTTTATTTTCAATTTTAGTTTCTTTCAAATCTGCTAAAACGGGAGGATAGTTAAAAAAATTTATATCACAATGAAGATGACACTATTTATATCTTTATTTCCCCAGGCTACGCTGATGGCGCAACTGAACCTATAGATTTCCCCATTGCTCCAAAGTTTTCCACAGAAAAGTTACTCAAGATGGTTGGCATGACGGTAAAAATAAAAATTATAAAAATATTAATGATTATGTATTTGATTAAAACTATTAATTCATGTAAATGTGCCCAATTCTTGTAAGGGATCTGACTTGCATCAAGATTGTCAACGGTATCTTAAAGGATCTCTTTTAAAAAGAAGAGTTGCATGTCTGATTCACAGCAGTGAAAACTGATTTTCTCTGTTTAAGTGACTTCCTGATTTATGCAGAAGAGACGATGCAGAAAATTTTCAGAATTGAGAGCTTTTTCAGCGAGAAAATTAACATTATCATCAAAATTTTCAGCAGATAAAGGTTGTAAAGGGCACAGTTGTGAATCGGGCATTACCATCTATAATGAAACTCACTTAAGACAACAGTCTATATAAATATTTTTTTTCAGCCTTCTCAGGTTGATTTATGGGAGATAAATGAGGCTTTCAGTGTAGTTGTTCTTGCAAATATGAAGCTTCATGATCTAGATCCAGAGAAGGTAAACCAGATCCTGCGATTTAAAAGCTTAGACTCCGGTTTAAGGCTTCGTCTTATTTTTCTAACTTATGAATCATTTGACCACAGTTTGTCTCACGCGATCGACAGCTGACAGCCCTTAGACTCGACCAATAATAAAAATAAAACCGACCTTAATTGGTTTTAATGGTTCTCAATCTTGAGTCTTGTTCTAATCAAACCCCGAAAATCACCAATTCCAACCATGAAATCTGTAAAAACTGTGGTTGTTGTAATCTGAAGATAACTTGTTAATCCTGCAAATGTGAAATCTACAGATTATTCTCATCGATCTCTAAATTGAAAATAAAAATAATTTTAAGAGAAAATTAAAGAAGGGGATCATTTTTCCAGTTAAAGTTGAGATTTTAGCTTTTATTCCATCTAAATCTGGTTAAAANCCCCCACCCTCAATAATTAAAATATCAATAAACAGAATAGAGAAATAAAAAATAAGGTGAAGGTTCAAATCATGGAAGGAAATTGAAGAATAAAAAAATATTTAGTTTTCTGTACAGGACATCGGGCTCAAATTCGGCTGTAAAAAGTAGTGTGCTATAACATATTTACTCATCGTACTTTGATTTGAATTTCCCCGGTATGGGGGAAGGACATCAGGGTGCCGGAATGAACGGGTTTCGGGCACTGGCCCTTAACGTCCTATATCGGTCTGGGGATTCCACATTGGGGGTCTAACACGATCTTATTAATAGCAACTAGGTTTTTATAGCGCTTTGCGCCCTTCTTTAACTTCAATTGTGAATTTGTATCCATTGTAAAACATAAACAAACAAAATGTTTCGGATTTAAAAAATATCGTGGATTTTTAAAATTTTAAAAAATCGAATTTTGTTAGAGGAATTTCCATCATTCATAGACCTTCCCAGGGGACAAGCGAGATCCCACAAAAAATTTGGGCCGGATCGGTTCAGCCGTTTAGATGTTAATAGGATACAAGCAAAGTATAAATTTAGATAAAGAATTAAGATTCACAGTGTTAAACTTTGAATTAAAAGCAAACTCTCTTTTTATTATTATTTTGATTTCATTTGATTTTTCAAATGTTTATTTATTTGATTTTTGATTTGATTCATGATATGAGTTTTGATATGATTTTTGATTTGATTTTTGTTTTGATTTTTGTTAATTTTTAAGTACTTTTATTTGTGTTAATTTTCAGGTTAATATTCATGGTGGAGCAGTTTCCCTTGGCCACCCCCTTGGAGCTAGCGGTACCAGGTATGATTTCGAACAAAAAAATTGCAATCTAGCAATGATCAACTTGATTGTTCCAAGCATTCCGACCGACGGAAATTAAATTGTTGTTGTCGTCGCCCCGGTCAAACAGGAAGTTTCTTTGGTATAGGTTTACACTTTACAGCTAAACCCTTGTGATATGTTTAGTTTTTATTTACAACCCCTATTTACACAATTTTTGTTATTTCAATTAAAAAATCATCAAACATTTATTCAAAATTTTTTATCTCCCCTTACATTTGAACGGATTACTCGCCCGCCACAAAATCTTTTTTACTAGTCCCTGTATTTTTGCAAACCAAATGGTACAAACATTTTATTTTCTAATATCGACATGTTGATCTCGTGGAATTCTAAGCCATAATATCAAAGGTGTAACTATTGTAACTAATCTTGAATTCTTTGCAGGATTGTCAATCACTTGGTGTACGCCCTTAAATCCGGCCAGAGGGGCGTGGCTAGTATTTGCAATGGAGGGGGTGGAGCATCTTCAATCATGATTGAGAAGTTGTAAATTATATATTTAATAGTTTCTACTGGTTCTACCTCTAGTCCAATACAATAACCATTGTAAAAGTTTGTTTCCATTAGCTACAGGGTTACCCTCAAAGGATGAGACTTCATAGACAACAACAGAATTTATACTAATCGTTTCCTTTTATTTAATAATTCCCTGTAACTGTAAACTTGTATCTTTCTTTTCTTTTTCAGTGAATAGACCACAAAAAGATTATATTTATACTAATTGTTTCCTTATATTTAATAATTCCCTGTAACTGTAAACTTATATCTTTCTTTTCTTTTTCAGTGAATAGACCATATAAAGATATTATATTTAATACTGTTCGAAGCCAAGTTTAAAGAATTTGAGCCGCGGTAAAATAAATAAAGTTTCTGTAGATAAATAAAGTTTCTGTAGATAAGTAAAGTTTTTGAAGATAAGTGAAGTTTTTGAAGATAATAAAAGATAAGTCTGCCATTTAACGGTTTAAAGGGTACCGTTGTGAATCGGAGATCCTTTGAAAGGTCACTCAATATTGTGCTTACAGTCCCTTTAATATAAACGAAAATTTTTTTATACAGAATTTTTTCGATTACTAGAGAATGAAATAATATTTTCTGAATTAGGGTACCGAATAATATTTTCTAAATTAGGGTACCGACCGCATAATATTTTCTAAATTAGGGTACCGAATAATATTTTCTAAATTAGGGTACCGAATAATATTTTCTAAATTAGGGTACCGAATAATATTTTCTAAATTAGGGTACCGAATAATGATGATGATAAAAGCTTCCATGTCATGAAATTCAAATCCTCCATGAACATAGATTTCAGCACTTGGTCACAGGTGAAAAATTCAAAAAATTCAATAAAACTTCGTAAGTGTAATATGTTAAAGTTTGCTTTAATTAGACAATATCTTTATATCCTTAAAAAAAAAACATGGGAAAAGGATCCAAAAAGGATAGTACAACACGTTAGTTTTTGCATCGTTTTTAGGACTGTTTTTGCATAATTCTTCTGCCAGGGTCAAAATTTGACAAAGGTAAAGAAAGGCAAATGTTTAGAATAAACAACTTAAAAACAATTTTCTACTCTTACATTATGTAAAAAAAACCCACCGAAAAACGAACCAACGGAAAGTACATCACTATATGTGAATCAAATGATCTATAGGTGAGGCGATCGAGCCAATTTTTTTTGTTATCTCACAACCCCAGGGGAGTTGAATAATTTTGCCAGAGAAAATGTCTACATTTATTGTTTTTAAATACACCATCTTAAACAGAAAAACCCACAAAGTTACTAGTTTTAAGATTTATAAACAAAAATGGCAGCTTGAAGAGTTACGGTCAACAGCTGAAAATTTACTAAAACAAGGCGCGAAAGCCCTGCAAGCCCTGTCTCAAATAAAAAATATAAGAGTAATTAAATCAATGAATAACCCCCTGAACAGTGAACATCTAGGTGCGGATGGTTCGAGAGAACAATCAGAAAGTGTTCAACACCTTCCAGGTGGACGACCAACCGAAGTTCGGTGCTGGGTCTGCATTTGGAAAAGACGCTAAGGTAATAAATAGTTAAAGGATATACATTTCCCAAGAACTTACTCCCCCTCCTCCAGAAAGTCTGTGTGCGAAATGCAAGCTTCTTTTTATATTTGAAAGGGCGGTAAAATTGATGATTTGGGTGAAAATAAAAAAATTAACATTAACTTGGTAACCCTTTTTTTTTTGATGATTTGTACCTTACAAACCAGTTATTTTCATTAAAAAATGATTTTTCAAGTTCACATATACATTAAATAATGAAATAGGATGAATTTAAAAAATAGCCATTATTTAAAACAACTCCTTTTTATGTGAAGTTTATTACGGTTAAATTTTTTTTAAAAGCATATCCGCAAAAAATCTTTTTTTCCGGTAACAGCATGAAAACATATCACTAACACTAGAAACTATAATACCTCTCTTCATTTTTGATTTAGAAAAGTCAACTCAATTTTGATTGAATATTTGATTTCATTTGATTTCATTGATTTCATTTGATTAAACATTTGATTTCATTTGATTTTATTGATTTCTTGATTTTTTATGATTTTATTTTATTTGATTTTATTTGATTTTATTTGATTTTATTTGATTTGATTTGATTTGATTTGATTTGATTTGATTTTAGATCGTTTTTAAACAAATCCCAAGCCTACTCTCTAGCACTAGAATTATATAATTTTCTTCTCAATATATTTCGCCAAAAACTTTGGCATCATCAGGAGTTTGTCCTTACTCTTTTGACGAGTATTGAATGACTCCATTTGATTTGATTTGATTTTATTTGATTTGATTTGATTTGATTTGATTTGATTTGATTTGATTTGATTTGATTTGATTTGATTTGATTTGATTTGATTTGATTTGATTTGATTTAATTTTAAGGAAGAAGCTAGGCGGAAAAAACTGGGAATTATCTCAAGAAAATACAATTCTGAAGCACAACCATGGTTAATGAAGATCGGAGGGAAAACTGGTAAAAAATACAGGGTAAGAACCTTAGCAATACATACTTCTCATAAAACTGAAATTGTTATAAAGGACTGTTAAGGTAATTTCAGGTGACCCTCCATTTAAAGCTTGATTCACAACTCCTAATCATGGTCTGAGAAAAAAATGTATAAATCTGAGAATTCATTTCTTCCCAAGATAGAAAAACAACATTACTAACTTAAAGAAAAACGTTGTGAATCGGACATGGAAATTAGGTAATCTATTACAGGGGTATATAATTTAAAAAATTACCCCCTCCCCCCGAGGAATTGATTTGTGATGATCTAGAGGATGGGGGGAGGAAATGAAAAATTGGACATCAAAAAGCAAGTTTTCTCATCCTCGATATTTTTCCCCCAAAAAATTATCATTTTCCCGAAAAACCATTTATTTTCTCCAATTCAGCGAATAAAAACCCTTAAAAAATGTTTTAAGGGAAGGGTAATGATTTTTCAAGAAAATAAACACCCATGACATAATTTAGGGTGTAAGGGAGGGTGGTGTATCTGATAACACTACCTATTATGTGTTCACTCATGGAAAAGATGGATTAGTTCAAGCCTACCCTCTCTCACAGTGGTATAATTTCACACAAATCAATAGGTTAGTAGCACAGTTGTATAATTTCACACAGCGCAATAGGATAGTAGCACAGTGGTATAATTTAATACAACTCAATAGGTTATGAGCACAGTGGTATACGCAAATCGATAGGTTAGAAGTATAGAGTTCAAGTACATGGGTAGGGATGCATGAAGACACTACCCTGCGATGGTTCACCAACCCCTAGTATTTACACCAGTTCTACATTATTTTAGACATTTAGCAATGTTTTGACCGATATTTATTTTGATTAAGCAACGCATAAAAAAATTATCTATGTCTCGAAGAAAAATTGATTGTTTAATGTCTTAACATTGCATGTTGAAATGGTTAAATCACATAACGGGTAGCGAACTGTCTCATGGATGTAAAATAATGCAAGACTCATGTCTGCCTTATCACGTGACATCAGTGCTTTGCATACAAGTTATTAATATAAAGATTTAAACGATATCGTTGTGAATCGAATATGTAACACCTATCCTAGGTATAAAACCCTTGATGCTGACGAAGCTGAGGAGAAGTTTGCCCAGCGGGGAAAAATATTGAACAAGTGGGCGGTCATGGTAAACAAGAAGATCAAGACGGCGGGGGAGGAGGACGAGGCAGATCCAGACGAGGGAGAGAAGAAAGGAAAGGTAGGAAAGTAGGGAGAGAAAGGAAAGGGGGAGATGAAAGGAAAGGAAGGAGAAGAAAGGAAAGATAATTTAAGGAATTAAAGATCTCTGTAATATATCAGGGTAAAGATAAGAAGGAATTAAAGATCTCTGATATGATATTAACTCTGTAATATATCAGGGTAAAGATAAGAAGGATTTAAAGATCTCTGATATGATATTAACTCTGTAATATATTATGGTAAAGATAAGAAGGAATTAAAGATCTCTGATATGATATTAACCCTGTAATATACAAGGGTAAAGATAAGAAGGAATTAAAGATCTCTGATATGATATTAACCCTGTAATATATCATGGTAAAGATAAGAAGGAATTAAAGATCTCTGATATAATATTAACCCTGTAATATACAAGGGTAAAAATAAGAAGGAATTAAAGATCTCTGATATAATATTAACCCTGTAATATACAAGGGTAAAGATAAGAAGGAATTAAAGATCTCTGATATGGACGATTGGGAAGATGACGACGACGACGCATTCAACTCAGATTCAGACAAGGGGTAGCTTAATTTCGCAGAGGGGTGGGTTATAATTTTCTATCTTTTAAAAAAAAGTTTAAAAGATGGGTTAAAAATTTGTCAAATTTATTGGGGTATTTCTAATTATTAGGGTGTTTTGTGACGTTTTTTGGTAGAAAAAGTTTTTTAGGTTTTGTGCATTTTAAGCGGGAGGAGGGGGGGGGGCGGTCCCAAATTTTGCAACTTGTTTCTTTTAATTGACAATACAGTGTTTGGCGATTATATCAATACAATAAAGACTACTTTTTATAAAAAATACTTTAATCCCTAACAACCATTATTTAATTTGCACGTTTACAAGTGAAAAAAAAGAAATGACAACCTTTTTGTCCTTCTCCTAAACCCGGCCTTATTTTTTAAATAATATGAATTTTTCTTCATGTTATTTTATGCTGTAGTTCATTATAATTACTAATCTAATAAAAGAAGGAAAAGGGATAAGCTTCTCAAAATACAAAAAAAAAATATAAACCCTTTAATTTCACAAGACAGGTTAGAAATAAAAATTCCAAAATAATTTATTTCAGAAAGCATTTAATTTGAAGAAAAAATAAAACTACACATATGATATTGGAAACAAAAATTAGATTTTCTGCCAATTTTCTTTCTTTTTTACTTCTTTCTTTGTTTTTTTAAGTTTCGTTCTTTTCATTTTCTTCTTTTTTTGTCTCAGAAAGTGTGCCCCCACCTTTTGGCCCCTCTTTGGGAGAAAACGGGGGGGACGTATCCCTTGCCCCCCCCCTAGCTACGGGCCTGGTGCAAACATACTTGATATATAATCAACAAATATCTCTAAACCATAGCAAAGCCCAAGTATGAAAGAATAAGGTTCTAAAATATAGATTAAAAACTTAGTTCTTTTTATTAGTTTTTATGGAGTGTACGTTCAATTTGTTAATAATATTTCCAGAAAAATTAGTGATAAAAATTAGTGTAAACCAAGGCAAATAAATTGCAAATTCAACCATCAATAAGTAGCCTAGAGAGGACTAAACCTGGCAACTCTGCTGTACTCTCAGCAATTCCTCAGTCTCTAAGTAACCATGAACAATGAAGAAGATTTAAGAAGTCCTAGATATGGTCCCAAGAGGGGAGCTAAGTCTACAAGGATATTGTCCCAAGAGAGGAGCTAAGTCCACAAGGATATGGTCCCAAGAGAGGAGCTAAGTCCACAAGGATATGGTCCCAAGAGGGGAGCTAAGTCTACAAGGATATGGTCCCAAGAGGGGAGCTAAGTCTACAAGGATATGGTCCCAAGAGAGGAGCTAAGTCCACAAGGATATGGTCCCAAGAGAGGAGCTAAATCCACAAGGATATGGTCCCAAGAGGGGAGCTAAGTCTATAAGGATATGGTCCCAAGAGAGGATCGAAGTCCGCAGGATATAATCTATGCCCTAGGAGAGAGACCCGGCTTTGTATCATCGAGATGCTCCAGTTAGTGTGTTTTTTTCCTTAATTGTCTATTTTCAATAAATATTTACTGTAATATATATATTTATATGTTTAATATTTAGATTTGAACCAGATCTGACCTAGAGTAAATAAATATTCTATGAAATCTGCGTCTAACTTTCTGTCAAAAATCTCGCATAAAAAGGGTTTTCAAAATCGCCCGGTTCTTTAGTCAACGACTAGATTTTACAGTCTCTGCTGTTGAAAGATTGGTAGCAATCCAAATTAAAATAGAAAGACGTCTTTATTGTAATGATATCAACGACGACGGACGACTGTAGTTGAGGAGATATTTTAATATTTAGGATGATAATGATGATGATGATGAAAAAGAGAAGAAGAAGGGAGGAAAGGATTCCAAGAAGAAGACGAAGAAGAAGAAGGATGATGATGAAGCATTTGAAGACAGTGATGATGGAGATGATGAAGGGAGGGAGGTGGATTACATGAGTGATGAGTCCAGTGATAGTGAAGGAGAATTGGAACAGGTAAATCAATAAAGGGACTATTCACGTTATTTAAGGCCATTTATCATATAACATAGCCTACAAGACATGATACTTTGACTGGAGGTTCAATATTAATAATAATAATTATAATAATCATTCAGAACACATATCATTGTATTTTTTTCTCTATCGAACCATTTTTAGTTTAATTTTGTGGCTACCAGTTGCTTTCGGCCGTAAATGATCATTTTTAGACTTAGCCAAAAATATTAAAAATGTTTCTAAATCAAAGATTATAGGGATCATGATTCTTTGACTATAGGTTGAATGTTAATAATAATAATAATAAGGGTACCGTTGTAAATAGTTAATGGCATCACTTTATCATCGAATAAAAATGCGTTAGTTTTTCCAACTTTTTACAATGCTTATTGAAAAAGTATTTTTTACAAAAAAAAATATTGAAAAATAGTTGAGTTTTATTGTAGTGCGTGGAATCTTGTTTATGTACAGTAAATACATAACTAATTAAAAAAATTAAAGCCGCGTTAAACAATATTTTGTTTTTGCTTTATCACTAATATTGATATTTTTGTTATTATTGTAGTTGTAGTTGTAGTTGTAGTTGTAGTTGTTATTGTTTTTGTAGTTATTGGTAATATATTTTTGCTATTATTGATATTGATCTTTTGCCTTGTGTTTTAGTTTTGTTTAATTTTTTGATATTGCAATGTTATTGTTATTGTTATTGTTCTGAATTAAGTAAAATGTATTTTGTACAGGAGGCGCACATCAAGGGTGTCGACCAGGACGAAGGGTTGGCAAAGATGCTGGACAGTGACTCCAGCAGTGAGGATGAGGAAAAGAAGAAGAAGAATAAGGAGGAGGTTCACTTCAATATACATTTCATTTTTTTCCAGTCACTACAAATCTCATATTTTATGTTTACTTTTTTTCTGAACTGCGTTTCCGCTCCCTTGATTTGTTTCCTTCATTTAAAGGTTCCGCCGCCGGACCAATTATGACCCTTAAAGCGCCTCTTGGATCAATTCTGCCTCTTAATTAGTTCCGCTTCCGCCCCTTGATCATTTCTTCTCATAGACCAGTTCCGATCCTTGATCAGCTCCGCCCCTTGATTAGTTCCGCCCCTACCTCAGTTCCGTTCCTTGATTTGTTTCCCCCATTGATTATTTCTGCCCCTTGATTTGTTTCGCCTCTTGATTATTTCCAATCCTTGATCAGTTCTGCCCCTTGATTAGTTCCACTCCTAGATTAGTTCTGCTCATTGATAGTTCCGCCTCTTGATCAGTTCCCTCCCATTAATTAGTTCCGCCCATAGCTCATTTCCGATCCAAGATCAGATCCTCCCCTTGATTAGTTCCGATCCTTGATCAGTCAGGTTTGTCCCTAGCCTGGCCTTGACCGGGCACCGGCCCCTCCACGAATTTTTTTTTTCTTCTCAAACACTTTATTAAGACACATTTTACATAGATCTGATCATCTATAAAAATAGAGCTTTATCGCCTTCATATTTTCAAAAATGATGAAAGCAAGAATAAATATTTAAAAATAATTAAAAATTTAATTTCCTCTGATAATTCCTATTCGGACAGGATGAGGATGAAGATGGAAAGAAGAAGAAGAAGGAAGAGGGAGAGACCGGGAAGAAGAAGAGGAAAGGTGGAAGTAAAAATAACTCGAGATCAGTTTCACCAGTGGAGGAGGAGGAGGAGGATAAGGTAAATACAAAGCCAACAGAATGTGAAAAAATTTCCAATATCATTTTTTACATAAGTCTTAGTAAAGATTTTTCATGAAATGTTATTTTCATTAATTTCCAAAAATGATTTTAGAGTTAGAAATAACAGAAGATAAGATAAGATAAGATAAAGTTTATTGTTAAAATACATGTATCTGTGTACAGAACGAGTTTACAATTACAAATTGATGATTATATTAGCAGTACAAGTAAAAAGCAATTAGGTGGAAAATAGCTCTTGGCTGTTTTGATTATTTTTTCCACCTAATTTCAATAATGATAACAAAACATTTCAATTAAATAGATTTAAGGAGAACTATTAAAGATCAGGATGCGATTTTATCTTGTACAAAATAGTTAATACATTAATTAGAATAACTAGAGCTTAAAGAAATTTTCTGACTTGTACACAACCAATATCAAAGCATATTAAAACATATCTAATTAGTTTTACATGAATAGCAATTCGGTTTATAACACATTGTAATTGAATTTTCAGAAAGAGAATTTAGTAGTCTATTTTTTAATATACTTAGAGAGTTGCTTCTTTTTAAGTCAAGAGGCAGGTTATTCCACATCTTAAGAAGAGAGCTTGATTGTAAATACTGTAATGAGCACATTTTGAAAATGTCAAGTTGATAGTTAAGAGATCTTCCAAAGTTTCAAAGCTTTTTAAAAATTGTTTTAAAAGATGCAGGAATAATTTTATGTGTATATTTATACATAAATATAGCTTGGTTAAAGTCAATCAGATCATTAATCTTTAGAATCTTTTACTTAAGGAAAAGAGGACTACTGTGAGACGTGGTTTTTGAGTTATCAATTAATCTTATTCCTCGTTTCTGTAAAATGTGAATTTGTTTCATTTCTTAACATTTGTTTCTTCCCCAGGCTGAAATTCCATATTCTATAAATGATCGAAATAATGAGTTGTAAATGGTTAGTTTAATATTACTAGGAAGAATATTTTTTACACTTGATAAAGCTAAAGCTGCACTGGATGCTTTGTTTTTAACCGACTGAAGATTATGGTTCCAGTTAAGATTTTCGTCTAAATGAACACCTACAAACTTAAAAGATTCATTTTTGCATCCAGTTCCTACTCTTTTTATATCTTTATCTATTTGAAGTTTAAGAGAGGTGATACTTACATCTTTTTTATTTTTAAAAAGAATATATTTTGTTTTAGACGCATTCAAAGTCAGTTTGTTTGCTTTAAACCAATCTTCTATTTTAGAGAGCTCCAAATTTCCGAAATCATATAAGTCGTGTAAGCTTTTTGAAGAAAGTTGCAGTGTTGTATCATCGGCAAAAAGAATTGTAAAAAATGTCGATGCTTTAGGAAGGTCATTGATAAGAATTAGAAATAAAATTGGTCCTAATATCGAACCTTATGGTACACCACAAGAGATTTCTTCAAGTGGAGAGTCAACACCCCTGATTGAAGTAAATTGTTTTCTTCCCTTTAAATAATTTTTGAACCATAAGTTAGAAGTCCAACGAAATCCATAGTGTTCAAACTTGCTCAGTAGAATGTCAACATCACATGTATCAAAAGCTTTAGTTAAATCTATAAAAATTCCCAGAGTATATTCGGATACAGGTTTATTTAGTGCGTTGTATATTTTATCCAAGAAATGAATTAAGGGTTGAGTAGTGTTGTGCTTTGCTCTGAAGCCATACTGATGTTCATAAAATAGTTTAAATTTATTCAAATATTTCATAATTTGATTTGCTGCCACTTTTTCTAGAAGTTTTGAAAACGAAGAAAGCAAACTTATAGGCCTATAATTTATAAAATTATCCGTTGCCCTAGCCTTGAAGATTGGGACGATTTTTGCAGTTTTAAGAGTGGTAGGAATAAACCCAGTTTTGAAAGATAAATCAAATAAATGACAGATAGGACCCATGATAATTGGTATGATAGACTTTAGCAAATTTGTTGAAATTTTGTCTGGCCCAGAACTGTTTTTACTTTTTAGTTTTTTAAGAGCATCATTTATAATATCAGGGGTCATATTTGCAAAAACAAAGTTTTCATCTGTTCCCTGTGACAAAAAGTCAGAAAATTGTCTTTCAGTGCCCTCAATAGTTTTTGCCAGATCAGGACCTATATTAGCAAAAAAATTATTAAAACCCTCTGATATTTCTACGGCCCCTGAGAGAACTTTTCCATTGCTCACAAATGCATCAGGAATGTTAATTGTTTTACGTCCCCTTCCTAGTACACTTTTGATAGCCATGTTTGTTTACAATCTTTACTATATTCTTGAAATTTATCATTGAAAGTATTTTTTTCGTGCTGCCCTCACAAGGCGAGTATACACTGCATTATATTCTTTAAATCTAGATTTAGTTTCCTGACAGGGTTTTCTCAACTTTTTATTAAACAATTTGGCTTTACGTTTTCTCTATATTATCAGTGCTTTAGACATCCAAGGGTTAAAAGGTCTATATTTTCTGGGAGGATTTACATTTTTCTCAGGGAATGAACTTTCGAAACAGTTATCAATCGACTCAAAACAATTATTAAAGGCACTGTCCTGATCTCTATTAAGAAGAACATTTTCCCAATTTTAATCTTCTAACATTTTTTTGAATTTGGGACTCAGAGTCAAAGTTTCGAGTTTTCTGTTGGGTCTTTTCTTCTATGAATTTATCTTTAAAATGTCGAATATAGAAAACAGGAAAATGATCAGAAATATCTGAATTTCAGATAATTCAAATAATGCCAGAATCAAAACTATCATCGGCAATGTTAGTGCAAATATGATCTAGAATGGTTGCTGAATTTTGACCTGTTCTAGTAGGCAGAGTTATAAGAGGCAAAAACTATTCTCAAGAAGCGTATCTAAATAAGTCTCTGTGTCACTATGCAATGTATGTTTCATAGCTCCTACTAAGACTACATCCTGCGCATTTTTTAAAGTAGGATCAGACCTAATTTTTGAAGAAAAAAAATTCTTTTATTGTTTGATTAAAATATTTCACGTCTGCATATACGTAGCAGTGTTAGGCCTGTAAATGTTATCTACAACTATATATTTATTCATCCCATTTTTAATCTTAATAAATTGTGATTCAAAAACGCCAGGTAAGAAGATACAAATTGAATTAATCGGTTCAAAACAATTGATTTCTCAACCCAGAGTCCTACTCCTCCCCCTGCATTACTATTTAGCCCCTGTTTATTTCTTATAGTAAAATGAAGTGGATGATAATCAGTTAAATCAAATGAAAGATGTAGGTTTATTCCAAATTTCCTGAAGAGCAATTGTAGATGGTTTAAATTTCCCCAGGGTTGAGGCTAAAAATGTTTGAAACTCCTTAAAATTTTCAAGGGAAAGATTGGATATTCAAAGACTAAATAACTAGATTGCTCTGTTGAAATACTATTAAATTTTTTGTTAATCTCATCTTCATCATAGTATTGACAATTATGAATATCATTTTCATAAACCGAATCTTTAAAATTGTATGTAAAATCGAATGTTTGATTGTTTTGGTGCACATTTGTAAGTGAGATACAGGGTGGCCAAAATGTACGGATTGTACGGATTTTTTATTTTGTAACCCTAAAATTGTACGGATTGTACGGATTGTATGGATTTTTTTTCAAATTGTACGGATTGTACAGATTTTTATCCTGGAAATACACCGGTTTTTTTTTTAATTTTCACTCATTTCACCAAGTTTTTCGTGAAAATTTCAAAAAAAAATCTCGTCAAAATGAAGTTAGTTTAACTTATTTTCTGCATTCTAAATAATATTAGATTGATTAACGTTTCAATTGACAATCAAAATTCATTCATAATTTTCGAGATCCCAGAAGTGTTCATTTGAGAATATGTTCCAGAAGTGTTCATTTGAGAATATGTTCCATAAGTGTTCATTTGAGAATGTGTCTATCTGTCTAGCTATCTGTCTAGCGAACTGTCTAGCTATCTGTCTACCTATCTGTCTATCTATCTGCCTAGCTCTCTGTCTAGCTATAGGTCTAGCTATATGTCTAGCTATCTATCTATCTATCTGTCTATCTATCTGCCTAGCTCTCTGTCTAGCTATNAAAAAAATTGTACGGATTGTACGGATTGTTTTTCGAAAATTGTACGGATTGTACGGATTTCTTCTGAAAATGTACGGATTTTTGTACGGATGGTTTCAAAAAAGTTTTGGCCACCCTGGAGATATTATCCTGGATCATTTAGAAGCTTGAGAAAATGCGGCACCCTTTAGACTCCCCTCCCTTCTTAAAACAAAGCTCCGCCCCCATATCCCTTGACATAAAGGAAAATCTGTCAGATTAGGATCAGGAAACAGAAAGTAACGGAAGTAAATTGTATAAATGAAATTCATAACTGATTTGGAACTATTGATTATAAGAATACAAAAAGAGAAAATAAGCTCACAAATATGAGAAAGTATGAAAATTAGATTAGTCATTAAACTTTTTGGCAATATTATGTACTACTATATACAGATTTTAAACTTTAGAATTCACGAGTGCCTAGATTTCATCAAGATTGAGAGTTTTTGGCGTTCCATATTTCTGATCAGGCACAAAGCTTGTCGCTTTCTTTTCCCTTGTATCGGACACTTTCAGACCTAACTGACCATTCTCATTAGAGAATAGTTTGCTGATTTTACCTTCTTTCTTTCTTAATGGACCTGAGATGATAAATTAGGCTGTTTCTCTTGTTAGTAAGTTAAAAATTGGCATACAGATTAACCACCTTTTTCCCTCCCTTCTTGATCTCTGTCGTGAGGTGATCCCAGGGTGACCCTTCCTTTCGGTTCCAAAACCGAACCAGGATGGTATTCTTAGGTAGATAGTGACATGCTTGTATGTCATTCTCAGTAACTACGACATTGTATTTAGTTTTGATGAACTGACAAGCATAAGTGGTTGTAGTAACTTTCTCCTGAGGTTTTATCAAGCTAGCTTTATTTTTTCCTGCAACCTCTGAGATTATGAGGTTTCCCTTCATGGAACGTTGTTGGATCTCATCAAGAAGGTCACATTGTGCTCTACTTTGCTTCTTTAGATCATCAATTCTTACTTTGTGTTCCCTTAGTTTATCCTGCTGGTCAACTAAGACGGTGATAGCCTGAACTATGAGAGAAAGAACAGAATTTAGATCTGTAGGATCTATCTTTGCATCAACAATCCCTCCCTTAATTTTCATCTTTGCCTTTCTATCCTTTCCTTGCACTTTACTCCATTCAGACCCTTCACTTTCTTTTGAGTTTTCCAACTTCTCCAATTTTTTTACTAAATCGCTTATTATGAGTCTAGTAGAAATATTTTTTACTGGAAATAAATGCACTAAACAAGTTATCTGAGTGTTTGTGTTTTCACATAGTATGGAGCATGTGAATTAGTTAACCAGGTGTTGGGTTGTCGGTCAGTTTAATCCGGGAGCTCACAGAGACACGTCCGGTCAGCTCGGATAATTACACTATCAATAACAGTTCCCGAATTTTTATTTTACCCCACTGCACACACCTGATCTAGTATGTACGGCTAGAATTTTTTTTTAATTTTGGGGTTGGGGAAAAGATGAAAAATTGGAAAAATCCATGCAAATATTCTTAACAAAGTGGTTAAATTATTTTTCAAGAAGACGGTATATTGTTTTTCTACATTATACATATACATTTGAATATCATAAATATCTGTAATAAAGGTACTGTAGTTGTAATTTCAAGTGACCCATCATTTCCGGAGGGCCATGCCTTCTTCACAACAGAGCCTTTCAAACACTTATTCTGAGTTTAATGATGCGGAAGATATCGTCGTTTTATTGTTAAAATTGTTTAATTCTAACAATTGCATGCCATTTTATAAATAAAGGGTCACTTAAAATTATGTGTACAGTCTCTTTTAATAAATTCATGAATTGTTTAGGTGGATAAGGCGGAGAAGAGGAAGGCAATGGTTGCCAATATATTAGATCCGTTTGCTGAACCCGCCAGTAAAAAATCAAGATTAGAGCAGTTCGGATCTAACGCAGGTATTGTGTGTTCCTCGAAACATGACAGTATTAAAACGACTTGGAGGTCGTCTTTGATCTTTGAAATATTTTGCTGAATCTATTCTAAATCTAATTTTCGAAGTAAATTCCTAGAGTTAATATTCACATAGTACCCCTTGTTCTGGTATTTCCATAATGTGGTCTGCCCTTGTCCTTTACATGTTTTAAATCATATTTCCCTTTTCAAGAGATATAGAAATGGACGAAATTATTTGAATTTAAAATATACATCTTATCTCTCAAATTCGGGAGTACAATCAAAAGTTGAGGAGCTACAAAGTTGCACATATGTGACTGGAAAGGAGCGTTAACGGATCAAAATATTCAAAAAGACGTTTTTGAGATTTTTTGGTTGTTTAAAATACTCACGGTTCAAACCCATAAAATTAATATTAAATTATTAATTACCAGCTGAAAAGCCCGGCGATTCTCGTGGAAAAAAAAAATTTCAGGCCAATCAGTGCAGCCGCTTGGCCGGCTATACGCAGCATATTTATGAATGTCTTGTTTTATTATATAGATTAATTTTAATTAATTATAATAATCTTTGATAAACATTTAATATAAAAAATTAAAGGAGGGAGCAGTAGTGTATCCGGGAATGAAACCATATCTGAGGAATCAGTGAGAAGATATCTGAAAAGAAGACCAATGACAACAACAGACCTTCTGAAAAAGTTCAGGTTGGAGTCCTTAGATATCCATTCAGTATTTGTATATTCTATCTTAGATAGATTTAAACAAACTGGACATGGATAATACGAGCTATACGAGTAAACATCTGAAAGTCATCCCATGTTGAGAGTCCTAAACCGCTGAAGGATTATAAGAAATTCACCCGGCCAGCCATCCGTTCCGGGATAAAGTACTACTGTAAACGTAATATACTAGAGCTGGGGGCTTCTTGTAGATATCATCTCGTATTATCTCGTATTAGGTAATGCTGTTCTTAACATGTCAAGATGAACTCCTTGTTTTTCCGAATATAAGACTCATGAAAAATAGTCCAATTAACAAGAAAACTCCACATTTTTATGGGTCCTGTCGTAAATGTTGTGTTTTATGGATCCTGTCGTAAATATTGTGTTTTATGGGTCCTGTCGTAAATATTGTGTTTAATGGGTCCTGTCGTAAATATTGTGTTTTATGGGTCCTGTCATAAATATTGTGTTTTAAGAGTCCTGTCGTAAATATTGTGTTTTATGGATCCTGTCGTAAATATTGTGTTTTATGGGTCCTGTCATAAATATTGTGTTTTAAGAGTCCTGTCGTAAATATTGTGTTTTATGGATCCTGTCGTAAATATTGTGTTTTATGGGTCCTGTCGTAAATATCGTGTTTTATGGGTCCTGTCGTAAATATTGTGTTTTAGATCTAAGAGGACTGGAATTCAGAACGCCCAGTTGGTTCAGCTCCTCGCTAATATTCTCAAGAAGATCAATCCACACAAGCAAAAGGTCAAGGGGGTCACATACCTCTCACTCAAGGAGAACTAGATATGACCTCTCAGGCCTCAAGAAGAACTAGATCAGAACTCCCTCAAGGAGAACTAGATATGACCTTTCAGGCCTCTAGGAGAACTAGATCAGAACTCTCTCAAGGAGAACTAGACCACTCAAAGAGACCTTACCCATCTATATTCTCCTTGGAAAATGAATGATTCATTCTGTTTTGATACACCATGATTAAATCATATTTATTTTCAGACACGAGAAGTATTTACCTAGTACCTACCCTCTCTTAAAACAATGCAAATCTACCGGTGTCAGCTCTGCAATGCTTCCATTAACAAATTATACTTCAGGAAAAAACAATTCATTTATTTATTAGCACAAATGATTAAACGCTTCCGTCGCCCTTTTTCCTTTTTTTAAATTTAAATAGTTTCCTAAAAAATATTAAAATTAAAATAATAATTGTGCTGTTGAGTAGGGACCATTTGATGTACGAGCACAAGATAAAAAATGATGAATATATGAGGAAAACGGAGGACTTGCATAAACAGTAAGAATGATATTTCCATACCTTTTTTGCAGTTAATAATATTGTCGAAGAGGTAGTTATGCTAGCTGTTTCTAGTTTGACTATTTCTTGATCATTCGTTTTACCATTTAAAAGGACCTAAAAATGTGATCTTTAATATAAAATATTACTTACAACGGTATTTAGCTGAAACCTTTTTTGGAGCAAAATTGATCGATTTAGCTTTATTTTTCTGTCTAAAAACGTAAAGTTTTGAATTTTTGCAACAAATGCAAATATAATTTTTTTTAAATATTTTTTTTTAGGAAGTTTTTCAGTCACAAGGTTACTCAGACGGACAAGAAATCCAATACTCCTTCAATTGTTTTTTAGGAAGTTTTTCAGTCACAAGGTTACTCAGACGGACAAGAAATCCAATACTCCTTCAAAAATATTTTTTTTTTTAGGAAGTTTTTCAGTCACAAGGTTACTCAGACGGACAAGAAATCCAATACTCCTTCTAAAATATATTTTTTTTAGGAAGTTTTTCAGTGACAAGGTAACTCAGACGGACAAGAAATCCAATACTCCTTCTAAAATATATTTTTTTTTTAGGAAGTTTTTCAGTGACAAGGTTACTCAGACGGACAAGAAATCCAATACTCCTTCTAAAATATATTTTTTTTTTAGGAAGTTTTTCAGTGACAAGGTTACTCAGACGGACAAGAAATCCAATACTCCTTCTAAAATTGCCAGGATTTCTCCATCAACAGCCCTAGCTCTCACTGAACCTTCAGCATCAGTCTTTCTTTCGGGATCTTTGCCTATCATTAGACTTTCGGATCTATCTTCTGATTCAGTAGCTGTCCTTGGATCTACAACGGCATCTAGACCTGTAGCAGTCCTTGCACCCTCTTCAAAACCTGTAGCAGTCGCTGGACCATCAAAGTCTCAATCAGTCCCTGGACCTAAACCAGAAGCAATTCTTAGATCATCTTTGAAACCAATAGCGGTCCCTCTACAACTACTAACAAACACGGAACCTTCAAATCAACTAAATAAATCTGACCTTGAGTCTTCCAAATCTAAAACTTCAGCTTTTTCCTCAAACTCGTCATCCTCAACTACTTTTACGAAAGTGTCTTCTGAATCATTATCAAATGATTCCTCTCTTTCCTCCAGTTCAAGCAATACCGGTCTCCTGTATCACGGCAACCCAAGCACTTCCAATCCAATCAGCAGTATTGTAGTCGATACACCCATTGTATCCAGTGAACCCCTGGATGGTAGCCAGGACACGTTAGATACATGGTCTCCGCCCGTTTCTTCACAATCAAAGGCAAGTCTTAAAAAATATTTAAAGTTAAATTTAAAAAAAAAATTTCTATATACATGAATTTAACGTTTCTAAAGATGATTTTTTCATCGCTATCCTGGCAATTTTTAAGGTATTTTTTTTAAATTTTACATAGTTTCTAGAAATTAATCTCTTTGATATCTTAAGCTTTATTTTATGGTTCTTGGATGAAAAATCAACCCGTTAATCAGTCCGGACATACGTAGCTCTTAACCCTATCCCCGCTGGGGTACTTGAAAACCAGGATACGCTGGGGGGGGGGGCAAATTAACCCCCCCTCTAAATCCCATGTTTTATGTCCAAATATGACAAATGATACATCATTAGAAAGCTCTTGTGCTCTACTTTTAGAATCTGCAAAAAAATTTGCAAATTTGCGAAAATTGAATTTTTTATCGCAAAATCCAGTTTTATAGTAAAAATGTTTGCAAAAAAAAATTTGTCCAAAAAATGACAAATTATACATTTTTGAAAAGCCCTTGACCATGCCATTTCAAATATGCNGTTTATTCTTTGAATATTTGTTTATTCTTTGAATATTTGTTTATTCTTTGAATATTTGTTTATTCTTTGAATATTTGTTTATTCTTTGAATATTTGTTTATTCTTTGAATATTTGTTTATTCTTTGAATATTTGTTTATTCTTTGAATATTTGTTTATTCTTTGAATATTTGTTTATTCTTTGAATATTTGTTTATTCTTTGAATATTTGTTTATTCTTTGAATATTTGTTTATTCTTTGAATATTTGTTTATTCTTTGAATATTTGTTTATTCTTTGAATATTTGTTTATTCTTTGAATATTTGTTTATTCTTTGAATATTTGTTTATTCTTTGAATATTTGTTTATTCTTTGAATATTTGTTTATTCTTTGAATATTTGTTTATTCTTTGAATATTTGTTTATTCTTTGAATATTTGTTTATTCTTTGAATATTTGTTTATTCTTTGAATATTTGTTTATTCTTTGAATATTTGTTTATTCTTTGAATATTTGTTTATTCTTTGAATATTTGTTTATTCTTTGAATATTTGTTTATTCTTTGAATATTTGTTTATTCTTTGAATATTTGTTTATTCTTTGAATATTTGTTTATTCTTTGAATATTTGTTTATTCTTTGAATATTTGTTTATTCTTTGAATATTTGTTTAGTCTTCGAATATTTGTTTACTCTTTGAATATTTGTTTAGTCTTTGAATATTTGTTTAGTCTTTGAATATTTGTTTACTCTTTGAATATTTGTTTACTCTTTGAATATTTGTTTAGTCTTTGAATATTTGTTTATTCTTTGAATATTTGTTTACTCTTTGAATATTTGTTTACTCTTTGAATGACTAGTTTGAACCAACCTGTATTAAAGAAGTGCAAGATAACCGTATGCCTGTCTCCGAAGAGTTATATACAAGATAAAACAGATATACTCCGAGACAAGCGTAAAGTTCTGCGGGAATCTAACGGGGAAATTCGTGAAGATCGGAGAAGCTTGGTATCTAGTTTCTCTAGTCCTACTGAACCATCCAGTTCATCTAGATCTAGGGTCCCTAGTCCTGGTTCAGATAAAACGAGTTCTCTCCTTGTGGGATCCCGGGAGAGGAGTTCATCCAAAAGTTCTGGATCAATAGTTACAGTTCATGAGGAAGGATTGAAGTGTATTAAGAGTGAAACTGCTTCTCCGACTTCGTCGCCTTATTATCTAGTTGAAGATGGTCTAGTTGAAGATGATCTTGTTGAAGATGGGGTTGATGAAGATGGGGTTGAGATGTCATTTGACGCAGAAAACTCCAATAGAACTAGAAATACCAAACCAAATCAAATTGATAAATTATCACAAAAATCAGGCGCTTCAGTCCATCCCATGCTTAAATTCGATGTAAAAATACCAAATCATCCTTTGACAGTGAATCAGTTACGACAGGCAAAACGTGACATGAAGGCTTTAAAAAAGCCTATTTTGAAAGTGTCTGTGCCCCGAGATAATGAGTCGGCGAGAATAACTGATTTAAGGATTCCGGTTCGGCAGGCAGCGATCAATCCTGCGAATGATCTCAACAATGTCGGAGAGTGGGATATACATAGAAACCATGTTGTGCTGTTGGTAAATTTTAATGTTCGATAGATGGATAGATGGATAGATGGATAGATGGAAAGATGGATAGATGGATAGATGGATAGGTGGAAGGATGGAAGGATGGAAGGATGGATAGGTGGATGGATGGATAGATGGATAGATGGATAGATGGATAGATGGATAGATGGATAGATGGATAGATGGATAGGTGGATAGATGGATAGATGGATAGATGGAAGGATGGTTAGATGGATAGATGGATGGTCGATAAGCGTTATTTTTAATTTTTTTTTACACTTTTGTGGGTCGACAAACCACATATCATCTAATTCTTTTTGATAGTGCAAATAATAATGGTTTTTAAGTTTTGTTTAAAGAATAAATTTCATATTCCTGGGGCTCAGAGATCTTTGCGCACTGTAGGGGCTGTGAATAATAAAATGTCATTACGGTGATATTTAATCCTTATGTAAAAAAGAATTTACATCATGACACTTTTTATCGGATGTCGTTTTCGCTAGCTAATTTACACTGCAACTTTTGGCTTAAATGTTCTCTTTTTCGTAGATCTGTGATTTCGTAATACTAATATGATACTCTATTTGATGAGTTTTGTCAACATGGTAGTCCTTATATAACAAGTTTTTATATCAGCTAAACATGATTCTGTTTTGATTATCGGGGACTACATTTATTGAGAAAGCTACTTGTGGATTTCTACAGAACTTACCAGCATTAGAACGGCCAAGATTTTTTTCCAATAGATTTAAAAACAACAAGTTTTATAAAATATTCTATTATTTCTGCTATTTCTGTTTGTGTCCATAGGCTTAATGTTGTTTAAATTGTCGTATTTTCTGTGCAGTTAAAAGAGGTGTTGGGAATTGTGTGGACTTTCTTTGCAATCTGGGGCAACTTTTTTTTTGAAAAGATTCGTGATTAATATTAATCATTACTTTCAATCTCAATTACACAAAATATTGATAACTCGCCTAAAGTAATCTTTTTCTGTCCAAAAACTTTATAGCAGTGCAAACCAAAATAAAAGTGATATAAATAGTTATTACTGTTTGGTAAAATTGAATTCACAGTTTCAAATTTAAAGGTCTACGACATGGGAGTTGAAAACTTCACAAATGTAGATATCGAGATCAATGCTAGATATTCTTTATTTGTTAATATTGAGATTATTTTAATCTTTGGTTTGGATCCAGGAAAGTGTCTAAAATTCAACCAATCAGAGTGGCGTATGCAGTATCCCGAACTGCCAATCAGAAGCTCGGAAATTTTAAATTCTGCGCGCCATTTAAGGAGAGAACTCTCATTGGTCGGAATCCGTTTGGAATATAAAAAAAGAAGTAAAAAGAGCGGATTAAGTAGATATCAAAAGCGATCGGTAAAAAGGGTATCCAGTTTTAAAGTTTTCAGAGCTAAGGTTGCCACGGTTGCTAATGATTAGCAAATTAGAGCATGATGAGAGTTTATAGCTTCTATTTTTCAGGAGTCCGAGCATTTTTCGAAAAGTCTTCTACACAACGAGTTTAAAAATACCGAAGAGGACGAAGAGGAGACAAATTTAAGTATTCAGAGGTACCTGGAGTCATTGGAACCTTCAACTACGACACGGCTCTGAGTCGATTCTTTCGAATAATTTGTAAAAGGAGAATAAAAGACTACATTAAAATTTTAATGAATAAGTTAAATTTTAATGAAAAAATGTTGAAATAATTCTCTTGTTTGGGAATAATTAATCTCGGGTTTCTTGTTTCATTTGTTCTACCATGTTAGCAACCCAGGGGTTTTTATATGGTTAAGAACCTGAAAGTAGAGTAAACTCATGTATCAACTACATAGGATGGATTGTTGACGCGGACACACGTATATCCCAGCCGAGATTTACTAATTAGACAGCTGTATATTTTGAGATAATTAATCGAAATTGGTTCCAGCAGGGAACGTAACTAAAATTTAGTCTCAGTAATTATGAAAAATACAAATATTTTCTTACTTTCTGCCCATTGTGCATATTTTACAGAAACGTTGCGGCTTTGAGGTTCTTCAACCCGATTTGTTGAACGCCCGGACGCGTCAAAAATCCATCCCTGGTTAATCCATGGGTAAACTAGAGACTGAAGTCCAAATTACACAATACACAACATTCTACTCAGGGTAACATGAACAAAAAAACCAGCTAATTTCATGTCTTTTATTTGGGTTTTCTAGATTCTAATTGACTAAGGGTTATGGTGTAACCGTTCCAGGTACCCGGAGTCATTTTAAGTGGAACCTTCAGCCCAAAATTTAAAAAGAAAAAATACTCATTCAGATTATTTACAAAAATACTCTCATCTTTTACGAATATCATTATTAGATCTGATTAGTTAGTTTTTAACATAGATAATTTTCTTGTACTTCCTATTTTTGATTATTTTGGAGCTTGGCGAGGGGATGAACAATACTCTCAATGTTCACAATTCTAATTATTAGATTTGATAATAGTTTGGAGCAGTACATAATGTTTCGTACTTCTCATTTTTGATTAATTTTGTAGCTTGATTATTTTATTTCACTCAAATTATCTAATATACATTTTACATAAACAAACGATAAAAAAACTACTTGTCGAAAAAATTGAACCATTTTATATTTAAGAAATTTGTGTCCACTTTCGGTAATACATATAATATTGCTTTAATTGCTATCACAAAACTGTTGTGCATTTTCGTTGTATGCGAAATATCTAAAATTTGTATTATTTTGGTATTACACAAATAATTGTGGTAATTATTACATATATAATCTCTGTGGCATTACTACATAAAATGTATGTTGTTACATTAAAGATGATCCTGCATCTATGATGAATGATTATTTTTTTTTTCCTGTTATAAATATACATTTGTTTACATAAAACGTATTTGCTAAAACACTGATTTATATTTTCAGAAAAATATATGATTTCACTTCACTGAAGATAATTGCACGTAAGATTAAAATTATTTTATAAATCTTAACTCTTTTTTTTGGAGAGCTTTTCAGGATAACCTAAGTTTTTGAATTTACCATATACGGTACCAGATTAATTTGCCTTTCTCATACTTGTGCATAAAATCAAAAATAGAGGAGCCACGAGGTCACACCTACCCGTATTGTCGCATAACTTGGTCATTCTTATATAGTGTAACTTTCTCAAAATTTAGTTTTAAGTGTTGGATTAGTTTTATTTAAGGGACTGCAAGCGTAATTTCAAGTGACCCTCCATACAAGATGACATTGTCCCTTGAAACCTTGATCTAATCAATAACATTGAAGATATTTTCGGTTTTCTATGTTTCCGATAATTCCTGTTTCTTTTCCTTCAGTAGAACTGTGCGAGCACAGAACTCACACTTGAAAAGATTCAGTTTTCAAAATTATTAATATTGACATTTGAATCATACTTGATCTGACAAAGTTTGTTATGGTACCGTTCTTAATCGAGCAGAGCCATTTGCCGTAGGTAGGGTCACTTGAAACTACACATTCATTCCCTCAAAGGGTGTTATACTTAGGCAAAAAATGATAAACCCATTCCATTTATATAATTCTTTAATTCTTTTTTAATGCTAAATGAATTATTTTAGAGAATCGTTACGCATCATATTTTAAATGTGCAAACTTAAATTGCACAGACTGAGATTAATTCCTGATGGGAATTAAACATAATTTGATTTCTTAAAACTTACTTAGAATTAAGTACCAAAAATTACATTGAAATAAGAAACAAAAAATACATTGAATTAAGTAACAAAAATTATTTTGAATTAGGTAAAAAAATACATTGAATTAAGTAACAAAAAATTTACATTGAATTAAGTAACAAAAAATGCATTGAAATAGGTAACAAAAAATACAAAGCATTAAATAACAAAAAAACGTTGAATTAATAACAAAAAAAAGTTTACAGCTGAAATACTTTATCTGAAATGAAATTTTTAAATCATTTGAAATTGAATTTATCCCTGAAGGAGGGTTCTTATTCCCCAGTTTTCTTCATATCCTTTTTTTAATGATTAATTTCATGATAAAGTTTGACAATTGTTTGAATTTGTCATTAACTTTGCAGTGTTTGATATCATGCAATAGAGAGATAAATATGAAAATAAAATAAAATGAAACTGGCCTATTTTATTTATTTGAGTCGCGGAGGGGAGGAAGGCCAGCCAAAACAATTTCTCGCCCGAGCCACAATCTCCTCATTTTTTCGTCCGAGCTACCTCGAAATCCTGGTCCTTCGATTATTATGTGTTTTAAAGTTTCTAATTTTGGAAGATAAAACTATTTCAACGACATAAAATATAGTATAGACTCTAAAGTATTGCAATAATTATATCATGTTGGAATCTTTAAACCCATGAGAATTATGTCAAACTTTATTTAGGTAAAACTCTTCTTCCGCAATGGTTAATCTTCTCGATATAAAATAAATAGCAAAATATTTGGCATACCTCTGCCTATCATTTTCCACATGGATGATGAAACCACCCGGAAAAATTCTTTGGTTTTCTTTATTATTAACAAAAAAGGTTGAAGTTCTATAAACTCGGAATTATTTGCGGCATTCTACACCAGGAATATCTGAAAATGCGCGTAAAAAGGTAAACACTTTAAAAGACATACAACTCGAAAACTTTAAATCAATTGTTTTTTTGTTTTTTTTTTGATTTACAAAAGTTCAATATTTCATTTATGCCCTATCGTTGCCCGATTTTTAATAATAGTTTTATCTTGGAGACTTAAAAAATGATACTAAAAGGACGAAAATTTCGAGGTGGCTCGGACGAATAAATTAGGAGAATGTGGCTCGGACTAGAAATTGTTTTGACTGGCTTTTCTCCCCTCAATTGTATAAGTCTCAATAAACACTGAAAGGGACTGGACACTTAATTTCAAGTGACCCTCCATTTAAAGAAAACGCCCGATCGACAACCTTGGAAACCTTTATCTGATCAATAAAGAGGAAAATATGGTAGTTTTTTTAGGCTTCAAATGTTTTATTCTGAAGTGTTTTGCAGTAGAAATGCGCAAGTTACTTTTGTTAAGCAACTTTAGAAATTGACACCTAATTCATACTAAGCTTTTAAGTTTACCGTTGTGAATCGGACATTGCCGAATGCACTCGAATTTACGCTAACAGTCTCTTTAATATCCCAGTTAAATATAGGGTTACCCACAAAGAATGAGACGACTGTTCGGAATTTACACTGTCTGTTTCCTTGAATTTCGTGTTTTTTTTCTTCGCTAGATCATTTAATCAGCTGTTAAAATGCTATATTCAATGCAGAAGACTTCATCTCACCATGAAATTGTCATATTTTAAGAGTCTATGTCGTCTTTACAGCCTCATCCTTTGTGGGTAACCCTGTATCTCCCAATTTTATCCGCGAGTTCAACAATTATTTTTCAGATTTTCTGGATATCTTTTTTTTCACGTTTAGAGACAACCCAAAAGTGACATCACAAAAAACAGACACTGACAGCCCACAGAACACACTTAAGCTCTAATTTTCTTGCAACTCCAATACGTCCAATAAACTACCCTTTAAATGGAACTTAACCATCTAACAAGTTTTAATAAATACGACATATTGTTATGATAAATACAACAAGTAATGTTGTTAAAATAAATTCGAAATATAAGGAAGACGATTTTTCCGACTCAAATGCCGTAGCCTTTTCTCTAGATGTATGTGTACTCAAGATCCATTTCCTCCATGTAGTGCCCACATGTCAAACCCCGCTTCTTCTCCCCCCCCCCCTCTACAGATCCCAGCCCCGGCAGTCAGTGGAGAACACTGGAGATGATCACAACTCCGTCTCAGGGAGCAATCCTGGCTCCTTCATAGTGATGATGCAGATACCTAGCTACCAACAGACGATGCTTACATCCAGCTCAACATTGTTCCAAGAGTTCCAAAATTATCAGGCGAACATTGAGATGCATTCCCTCATATTCGAAACTGATAAAACCGCGATCTCTCACCCTGTTCCAAGGGTTCTAATTCTCCTCTACAAGAGGATACTCACCCTGTTCCAAGGGTTCTAACTCTCCTCCACAAGAGGATAATCTCAACTCTAATGAGTTTAATAACCTGGAGAGAGCAGAAACCTGTTGTTCAACTCCTAGTTGATCTGCACCACCAATATGAAGTTATACACTACCATCATGAAGTTATACAAACACCTTCCAGCTGATATTCGTCTATAGTTTCCTTATTAATTTCTAAACCAACCAATTTTAACCCGACTTGGGAAAATATTTCATAACACTTTTGTTTTTTCATAAATAAAGATTAGAAATACCTTTAGATCTCTTTTATTTTGTCGTATTGACTTTTTTAAAGTCAACAAATGTATTGTCTAAATTTATTTTTGAAAATAAATAAATCGGGTTGAACTTTAAATCTATGAAATAAAAAAATTGAACAATAAAGGTCCTAACATTAACAACAATGAGTTTTAAAATCTTGTACATTAAAAGTTATTGGAATACAATGCACTAAAGAAAAGATTACAAGACGGCTGTGCAAAGCATGCTTGAAGTAAAGAAATTAGGATTACCAAAATAAAAATTGTACTTTTACAATCTTTCTTTGTCATAGTTTTAATGAATAAAGTAAGACATCTATGCTTGCTTGATGCAAAGTGATTAAATATTTATTCACTTTGGGTTGCTTGCCCCCTCTCCCTGTGTACGCCCTTGAATGTATTGTGTATATATAGTGAATTCCCCCCAGCATATATGAATATTGGATATATAATATAAACAATATATAGATTCAGCCCCGAGCCTCTCTTCATTACCGTCTTACCCCCTTTGAAACTATTTTATCCAATATTATTACCTTTTATTAATACTTGGCTTTCAGAATGCTTCGTGTCCCTTATCTTCTAACCAAGTTTGTAAATGAAAGACTCAAATTTTCATGGATTTTTTCTGTTTTAATTAAGAAATTTTAAAAATCTTAAAATCTTACATTTTTAATTATTCTCATGCACAATCTTTTTAATTTCTAAAAGGCCAAAAACCTTCCATTGCGCAATTTCGGCCCGTCATAGATACAAATTGAGCCAAATCAATATAGGAGTAGGGTTGAACATCGTCAGCATTGTAATTTTTGGTCTTATTTGAGAATAAAAATTGCAAAATTGTAATAAAAGCAAACAGAGCATGCAATTTAAAACGTCTTAAAAATTGTACAATCTTATACAGGGTACCCACAACGGATGAGACTTCATAGACGATTGTACGGACTTTGTTTTGTTCGTTTCCTTGCATTCAGGTTTCCTTATAGGCCAAAACTTGTTTATTTCTCTTAATCATTTGGTAAACCATTATCATACTCATTTAACTGCAGTAACTAAAAATCAAGCTTCAAATCGTCATATTTTTAAGCTTTGGGTCGTCTTTACAGTCTTATTCTTTGTGGGTTACCCTGTACATACTACATATCCTCTTTAAAGGGAGTGTTCACGAAAAATGAAAGGGAGTATAGGCTTAATGCGATAAAAAAAGCGCTTTTGATCGCTACTAATCTTACTTCTAGCTGTTGCGTCTATAAGGAGAAAATTGTTAAAAGCGACTAATACCGAAGAACGTAGTGTTCCTACAAATTCAGAAAGATGCAACATACGACATAAGACATGGAAACGCCTTAACACGGAAATGCCTCAAAAAACAGAATCATAAAACTAATTTAATGTCGTCTTCTCTCAACCTTAAATTAAAAGACCATAGGTACCTACTACCTATGTTGTGCCCAGGGTACCTATGTTGTGCCCAAGGTACCTACTACCTATGTTGTGTCCAAGGTACCTATGTTGTGCCCAAGCTATGTTGTGTCCAAGGTACCTATGTTGTGCCCAAGGTACCTATGTCGTGCCCAGGGTACCTATGTTGTGCCCAAGGTACCTATGTTGTGCCCAGGGTACCTATGTTGTGCCCAAGGTACCTATGTTGTGTCCAAGGGACCTATGTTGTGCCCAAGGTACCTATGTTGTGCCCAGGGTACCTATGTTGTGCCCAAGGTACCTATGTTGTGTCCAAGGTACCTATGTTGTGTTCAAGGTACCTATGTTGTGTCCAAGGTACCTATGCTGTGCCCAAGGTACCTATGTTGTGCCTAAGGTACCTATGTTTTGTCCAAGGTACCTATATTGTGCCCAGGGTACCTATGTTGTGCCCAAGGTACCTATGTTGTGCCCAAGGTACCTGTGTTGTGCCCAGGTCGCCCAGGGTACCTATGTTGTGCCCAAGGTACCTATGTTGTGCCCAAGGTACCTATGTTGTGCCCAAGGTACCTATGTTGTGCCCAAGCTATGTTGTGCTCAAGGTACCTATGTTGTGTCCAAGGTACCTTTGTTGTGCCCAAGCTATGTTGTGCCCAAGGTACCTTTGTTGTGCCCAAGGTACCTTTGTTGTGCCCAAGGTACCTATGTTGTGCCCAAGCTATGTTGTGCCCAAGGTACCTATGTTGTGTCCAAGGTACCTATGTTGTGCCCAAGGTTCCTATGTTGTGCCCAAGGTACCTATGTTGTGTCCAAGGTACCTATGTTGTGCCCAAGCTATGTTGTGCCCAAGGTACCTATGTTGTGTCCAAGGTACCTATGTTGTGCCCAATCTATGTTGTGCCCAAGGTACCTATGTTGTGCCCAAGCTATGTTGTGCCCAAGGTACCTATGTTGTGCCCAAGGTACCTATGTTTTGCCCAAGCTATCTTGTGCCCAAGGTACCTTTGTTGTGCCCAAGGTACCTATGTGCTTCCTCAACTAATTTCAACCATTTCGGTCCAGCCGTTTGGCCAGCTATAGCTAACATAGAGATATTTCTAGAGGGTTATGTCACATTTACAACGGTACATTTTAAATCACATATCCATATTTTTCTGTTTGAAATTGGATTATTTTCAAAAGTGATTTTGTCGGTAAAAGCTCACTTGTAGACTTCTTCGTTTAGAAACTGTGGAGAAAATTGTCAGAATGAAAAGCGACGTCCCCCCCCCCTCCTTCGGATACAGTTTTAAAGGGTACCGTTGTGAATCCGGCACATCCATCTTTTAATGAAGGTTCGCTATATAATTTAACAACAGACCCTAGAGTTTAGTTTGTAAATTTGCTGGATTCTTGAACTATAAATCATTAACAAATAATATAGCATGGTTGGGCCCGGAAATTAAAAGAATTCTATTTAAAAGAAATCTTTGCTCTGGAAAAGCAGACTTTGGTTAATGTACCTGTGTCCGAATTTAATGAACATAAGCCGCGTATCAAATCCCCCAAAAAAACAGTTTAAAATGAACGCCGGCTTAAATCTTAAAAAAAATGAATAACATTTTAAGTGGAACCAACAATATTTGAGCCGCGGCTTAAATTCTTTAAATTCGGCCTCTGATCGTAGATAACGGGGATCGATCGTTTTTTCAATTAACGAATTATTCGGAAAATTAACGAGCTTTAACGATTTTTGAAATCGTTCCAGTTTTTTTGTTTAATAGACCCAAAATTTAGCACAAGAACATATTTTTCTAAAACATACACTATTTTTCTAAAACATACTATTTTTTGGGCCAAAAAAATCCTTTTTTATTGAACATGAAAATATATTATTATATTTTGGGGGAGAAAAACTTGTACTACGATGAATCCCAGATATATGAATACATAGCAAGAGTTTTTAATAATGTCGTATTACATATTTGAGATCAAATGCCGCGGAAAAATGAGTTTAAAATTAAGATATCAATTGCATTCTTATGTCAAGGCTATATTAAACTCATTCTTTCCGCGGCATTTGATCTTAAATTTAGAGCTTAAAAACTAAGCTAAAAATATTCCTATGGTTCTACCGAGTTCGGAGTTCTCAGATCAAAATTTAAGGCAAATCAATCCTGGGATTTTTTGAGTGAAGATCGGACATTCAAACGAACAGACAACTTGGAACAACTACTTTAGTTCATATATATCAATATGTTGATATTCTCAAATTCAAGATATTCTGTTCTTTTCTTACTGTTCATGCACTTCCTCCTTTGAAAAACTCATAATACAAATTTGATAGTTTTGAAGAAATTTATTTTTCAACTGCAATTTGTTTAGAAATAGGTAGTATCAATAAACATGGAAATTTATGACCAAGCGTCCAAGTTGGTTCTAAAAAATTTTAAAAATGTTGTGACAGAACATTATGCTTGATATTAATAATACAAAAATGAACGACATACTCCAAAAATTCCATGTAACAATTTAAAATTGGAAAAATATTGCATAAAAGATTGCTGTGGGACGTAGAATTAACCGGCTCAGTTTCATTTGCCATAATACTTTTGCCATAAATACTTTTGCCATAATTACATTTGCCATAATACATTTGCCATATGTAACACTTGCCATAAATTACACTTACCATAAGTTACACTTGCCATAATGGTTACACTTGCCATAATTACACTTGCTATAATTACACTTGCCATAATTAAAATTTGGTTAGAATTAACAAACATATAGATATATATTTTTTAATTACAAATTAAATACAAATTACAATCTAATTCAGAGACAGTTCGAATTCGGGGTCGAATTGTAACTTAGCACATTTTAGCCGAACATTTCCAATAATTTACTTCTGTAGACAAGGCATTGTCTACATAGGTGTAGTTGTTGTTGTCTCGAACTATTGGTTTACCCTTACTTGTGGTCTCAACGGTCCTCCATTGTGAGGAAATATGGAGCTGAACTTGAGTCAACTAGTCTGCTAAAACAATGAGAAAACTAAAGTTGGGAATTTTCATGGTAAAATTTCCCGCATTTGCATTGCAATACAAAAAGAGAGATTTATATCTTTTTAAAAATTAGAAAATTATGACAAAAGTAATTATGGCAAGTGTAATTATGGCAAGTGTAACCATTATGGCAAGTGTAACTTATGGCAAGTGTGACTTATGGCAAGTGTAACTTATGGCAAGTGTTACTTATGGCAAAGATATTAATGGCAAGTGTTACTTATGGCAAAGATATTATGGCAAGTGTAATTATTGTAATTATAACATTTTCGTTCAAATTATTTAAAAACCGCATTATTTATTAAATATTCTAAAATTTAGGAGTTCCACAACAGGAAATATGTCTGCCTGTCATTAGCCGTGGTAATCGTTTTATATCGTTTTTAAAACAAAACTTGCAAGATTTAAAAAAATGGAAAAACAATCAAAAAAAAATAACTGTACAAAACATTCGTTTTTGCATAATTGTAGGGTCGTGTTTTGTTAATATCTTGTGTCAGGGTCAAAATTTGACATTATACATAATAATAAATATTATTTAAACATTTAATCTCTTGAGATTTAGTGATTTAAAACTGTTTTTTCGTTGTCGATCAGGTTGAAGATTATCATAGTGAAAAAAAGCCCAGGAAACAGAAGTGGATGAAACTAGATGTTTTAAACTCCATAACTTCAAAACTCCACTTAAACTCGACTTTCGCTCCACTTTTGAATTCCAGTCACCAACAGGGTGAAATCCGGGTAAAAAACTCGACTTAAACTCTAATTTTTTAATCCCAGTTTTTACCAAGTTAGGATAAAAACTTGGATTTCAAATATCCACTTCAAAACTCCACTTCTGGAAGGCAAAAGTTGAGTTTTGCTCGATTTTAACTCGAGTTTTGTTTGCTGGGAGGAAATCCCACTCTATAAATGGAAGGTCACATGAAATACCGTCTACACTCTACAGTTCCTAGAACGCATCTTTATCCCATATTTATTGGGAGAGTATGTATATATAAATACATATTTGAGCAAATTTTTCCTTGATCCAGAATATTTATAAAAATATATGAGATGTTTTTAAAGAAACTGACGTAATTTCAAGGTTTAAAGGGATAATTTGTCTCTTTTGTCCCTTGATCTTATGTCTACAGTCCCTTTAAAAGCAATTATTTCAGTAATTTTTCATTTATTTTTTACATTATTCCTTAATTGTTTCATAATCATATATATTAGCTTTTTCTCATTTTCAATCACAAGTTTATTATTTTCCAAATTAGAATTAGTTTATCCAAAATTATGTTTAAAATACACAATGTTGATTGATATCTGAATGATGAATTTTTTTTTCTTTATACACTAGATCTCCTTGTTCGCCTGAAAATAACATGCATACTCATTTTTATATGCAGTGAGAACCAGAAAACGCTGGAAAAGGAAGACGACTGGACAAGAGATTTAATAGGTTGTTAGTAAAACTATTTGCTTTGTAACATCATCAAGTATACAAAAGTATTACTTTGATGTGGTCTTCGAGTTCCAAAGTTTTTTGGTTCTCACTGTATAGGCTTCCAAATTCTGGGCGCTTCGTAACATTCTTTCATGTAAAAGTTTTAGCTTTTTGAATGTTGCTTTACCTGCGACCATTTTTTCCCGTTTATTATTGAACAAAAACAACAAAAACTTATTTAATTTTTTAAATTCTAAAGATCTAAAAGTAGCAATATTGCAGCCACAATCTGTAAGGGATTGATTCGTTTGGTGTACTGTCCCATTTTGCCTTATATAGTCTGTAGGTGTACTGTACAGCTTGCTCTAGCTGCTTAATAAAGTCGGCCTGGGACCTGAAACGGACCGGAGTTTACAGTGCAAGAATAAGATCATATCAGTTCAAAAAAATATGTACTTTTTTACAAGAGTGATCACTCAATTTAAATAGGCTAAAACACGATTTTCTTCACGATGGAATGTTTTTATTATTTTTTTAATTCACGGGCAACGCCGGGCACTTCAATTAGTTGTTTTATAATTTGAGTATGGCGTATCCCTGCTGTAGGTAGGTTGACCAGTAGGCTACGTTGAATACAGCGAATATAAAGGGGAAGAGGAACCTGGAAATAGTCTTTTTAATCGTCCGGTTTTTTTATAATAAAACTTTAATAATTCAAAACTGTTTTCATTTTAAATTTTGGTTTTATTATGTTCATTTCTAAGGTATGTAGTAGGGTTATTCAATAGTATATCGTTTTAACACCTTAGAAATAAATTTTACTTCCTTTTATATAAAAACTAAACAGTGTACTTAATTTAGTTTATCGTGTATTGTTTGCAAACATTCAACACTGAACTTCCTTCTCATTATAGATTTTCCTTTTAATCAGAAATAATTTTGAGGAAGTTTAGTTTGGGCTGGTAGAAATACAGGTTGGAAACTCTACCTGGAAACTACATCAATTCTCTTGGATCGTATATTTCCAATACTCTTCCCCCTAAACATTTTAAAACTAGTATTACAGAGACGATGGTACGGAATTCTCTTGGATCGTATATTTCCAATACTCTTCCCCCTAAACATTTTAAAACTTGTATAACAGAGACCATGGTACGGAATGATACTGTGTGTGATTGCATACATTCATAACTCCCTGCACATGTAAACTTGTTTATTTCTTTGTCAAATATAGGCCCTAAAAAGACTATATTCACGGCATAAAACTTGATCCTAGTGTTTGTTTGAGCTACCCCTAGACATGCATCCCCCTAGAGCCAGAGACAGGCTCTAATTTATTAAACAGTAAACTTACATATATGTTCAGATTTTTTACTTTTCTTATCAATCGACAATGTCACAATTTGTCCATTTAATAATTATTTCTCAAATTCTTTCTTGTATCTTAATCTTATTTACAATATTTTTCATTTAAAATGATTGGTAATTATGGTCAGATGACTAATAGACAGCCTTCAGGTAGATTAATATAGATTTTGAACTTTTTTCTTAATACCAGTTTTTTAGGGGGATGCACAAAAAAGTGCACCCCCCTATGCTAAACCTCCACTACGCGCCTGTTCAAACAAGTTTGTTTCATGCTCATTTGATATTTTAACATAAAGGTTCAAATGACCCTTAAAAATAGTGCAAATGCAGAACATGAAAATGAACAAAAATATAGTTCAAATGAACAAAATAAAAATAGTGCAAATGCAGAACATGAAAATGAACAAAAATATAGTTCAAATGAACAAAAAAATTGTGCAAATGATTAAAAAAATAGTTCTAATGAACAAAAAATTAGTTCAAATGAACAAAACATTGGAATTAAAATTAACATAATTTTTTTAAATTCAAATAAACATGAAATATAGTTTTAAACAGGAACTAAAAAATTTTATACGTAGTTTTGGTTCATTTTAACTATTATTATGTTCATTTGAACTCCTAGCTGCAGCGCTTGGCCCCCTAGTCTGTCCTAATCGCAGCACTTGGCCCATAAATTGTCTTCACCTAACCTAACCCTACATATCGGCTATCAATTTGATAAATGTGGCCGCATCACTCGGTCCCCTAGCCTGTCCTAGCCGCAGAGCCTAAACTAACCCCACATCACTTTGTCAACTTGATAAATGTGGCCGCAGCACACTATTATTTTGTTCATTTGAACTTTTTTTTTGTTCATTTGAACTATATTTTTTGTATTTTGAACTATTTTTTGTTTTTATGAAATTTTTATGTTCAATGAAATATTTCATTTGAACTATTTTTCGTTCATTTAAACTATTTTTATGTTCATTTGAACTATTTTTTATGTTCATTTGATCTATTTTTATATATCCATTTGAAATATTTTTTTGTTTGTTTAAACTATAATTTTAAATTGTTTGACCTACAAACTTCATGAAATCCCAAAATTTTAAATACTACTGTATGTTAAAGAAAATAGTTCAATAAAGTATCGTGTTGATTTGAACTACAGGATATGACGTCATATCAGTAGTTTAAATGAACAATAGTTCAAATGACCAATAGTTGAAATGAACAATAGTTCAAACGGTGGTAGTTCAAACAGGTATCCACCAACCTGATCTGATCTTTAAATCGTCATATTTAAGAGTTTAAGGTCGTCTTTGTAGTCTAATCTTTTGTAAGTAACTCTGTACTTGTACAGGGATGTAGTAAACACGTACTCCATAACAATTTCTTGAAGCGTATCCATCCAAATACAATCTGTCTGCTATCAAACACAACCAGGACTGAATCCCATGCTCTAAATGCCACACAGGGACACAAGCGTAGCTATCAAAATCCAGCTTATAATCCAGCACTCTAAATGCCACATAGGGACACAAGCCTAGCTATCAAACAAGCTATGTATGTCGATCCTATATGATGTGTACGATCCGCTCTAAATGCCACATAGGACACAAGCCTAGCTATCAACAAGCTATATATATCAATCCCAAATGATGGGGGCAATCCGACCTGTTTATCAAAACAGGGTTTCAGGATTACTCTCTTGTAGTAAACAGTACAGAGTTATTCTATAAACTGAGGTGTATTTCTTAAGTTCAGATTAGAATTGGGTCATTAACAGCGTAATTACAAGTTATGCGCTGTTATATATATATATATAATGTATGTTAAACTATCACAATATGGGTATGACAGAGTTTTATCTATATATGTACATGGAATTGGTTAATCCCATTACAGGATTTGCGTAATTACTACTGGAACATTTACTATATGAACAATGTACAACATAATTTACAATTGCACTTCCTACCCCAGCAACCGATAAAACACTCTACTCCGACCTGCTTTTTGAGACTGTATACCAGCAATACTCAAAGCAGACCAGTCCATGGTGTGAATAAAAGGCTCTCTTAAGTCGAAGACTGGATATGCTTGGATCTTTCTTGCTGTAAACTCTGCTTTCAACTCCTTAAAATCCTTCTCCATATCTTCTGATCACTTCAATTTCAAGGCTTTCTTCATTGCGTTCGTGCCGTTTGTCAAAGCCGAGTACCTAGGAATAAAGCTGCTATAATATCCTGTGAATCCAAGAAATGAGCTTCTTGGGCGTGGCCATTTCTTTACATTCTTGATATAGTCCTCCAGCAACTATACTCCCTCCTTACTCACTTTATGTCCTAAATACTCTGATACTTCTGATTAAAAAATCTTGGTCTTCTTTGGCTGTATCTTGATCCCTGCTTGAGTATGAGCTTGTACTACCTTCTTCAAGTGCTCCAGGTGTCCCCACGGATCTGTAGAATGCACCAGCCATGGCCCGGTCCAGCATCCGGGAATGCACACTGCCTGCATTGGATAAGCCAAATGGCATACATATGTAGCAAAAGGTTCTGAATGGCTTATGAATGCTGTACAATCTCTACTTCCTTCCTCGATCTGAACACAGTGATAGGCGTCACACGCGTCAATCGACATGCATATTGTGGCATCTTTTAACTTCTGTAAATTCTCTGAAATTTTTGTTAACAGATAAGCATCCTTCACTGATGCAGAATTTAAAAGTCTTAGATCTGTTACCCATCTTGTCCTTCCATCTTTCTTCTTAAATGGTACTAATGGCTAAGCCCACAGACTATTAGCATGTTCAATTACCCCTTGTTCTATCCACTCATCTATCTCATCTTTCAAGTTTCTTTTCTGATCTGGGTTCAACAGCCTCACTATGGATCTCTTGGGAACTGTTCCTGGTTCTAGATTTATCTTTAACTTTACTAGATCTGTTTTCCCGTAATGATTGTTATGTAATGCCAGAGCTAAAGAATTGTCTTGAAACATTTTTATAACTTCCCCCTTCAGTTTTTCATCTTTGTAAAATATCTCATTCTCATCTTACTAAAAGCTTTCATGAGTAAATTTCTTCTTAATCTCTTCTGTTGGATAGTCAGATTCATGCATTGAATTAACATTTTTTGATAATTGTTCACTGTCATCTTCTCCCACTTCCTGTTCATGCCTTCCTCTTAACTCTTCTTTAAGCCAGGCCCTATTGACAATGTCTAAACTGTGAATTGTTCCTAATCTCTGTTGCAGAGATATTTCTACATCCTCCTTGGTGTGGTTCTCCACAATATGACTGGTTCCTTGCCTGACAAATGATAGATGGTTTCTGGAAGCACTAATTTTCTTCCTGGGTTTTGCTCTTCTGGTAGCATGGATTCTACAAAACCCTCTACCCTCCAATCTCCTTCTACTCTGACTCACTAATTTTGCGCTTTCTGCAGGAATGAACAAATTCTCTCCTGACCACAATTTCTTCCTGTTCTGGTATTGGTTCTGGTTCTTGAATTACTTCCAGTTCCTGTCTACATGGTTAACAGTCTGGGACTTGGTCAGGTTTTTCTCTGCTTTCCTGCTTGTCTACTCTCTTTTCCTTGTATATAAATAGAAACAGAGATCCTTTGGCAATACTTAACCTGAGCTGAAAACTTTAGAATGTGATATCCTTAATCTTGCTCTCTTAATTAATCTGAAGATTAAAAATGAGAGGAGAACAAGCCATATTTAATCTGGAGATTAAGAAAAAGAGTGGATTAAGCCTTAATCCCGATATCCACCATTCAAAAGTTTTCCGCTCACGTAATCTTGCTTTACTTTCTTTCCCGTTTATTTATTTTGCTTCTTGTTTCAGCATGAAAAATTCACTTTGTATTGTTTTGAGAATTCTAATCCCAAATTCACTGCATGATTTAATCTTTCTATCGCTATGGATTCCACTTCGAATAATTGGTCTAGTCTGTCTAGGTAGAATTTTAACGTTCTCCTATCCCTAGCACTTTAAGTCCTTTCCCTCCTTTTTTCCGCTGTTCCTACTCTCAAATTGTAATTGTTCCTGACATTTTTCCCCTTATTGCTTCCCAGAACTCTTTGGACAATGAAGTACACGTCACTAGATTCCTGGTATTGACAAATGCTAAACCATAAGTCCATGGAATAGAAGAGACCTACAATTGACGCGGCCCTCCCTACCATATTATTATTATACATGCTTTGTGCAGATGGTACTTCATTTGAATAAGAAATATTTGTCAATTATACCCTGTATGAAGTACCCATTTGCAAAGCTTGCTTAATCATATGGTAAGGTGGGCCGCGTCAGTTGTATCTCTTATTCTATTCCATACTCCTTGCATAAGTCTCATTCTTGTATCTCTTTTTCACATATGAGGTTTTATGGTCGTCTTCCTTGTTTTTAAGAATGATTACTTTAATAGTTTTACTTCTGCAGTTAAAAACTTATGAATCATCATGTTATATCCTTCATGAATTCACTGCCCTGCAGTTAAAAAACTTATGAATAGTCTTACCTGTGATATCCATAATTTATCCCCATCCACTGCATTGGATACATTGGGTCCTCAACTAATGGATTCTAGAACAAAAATGTTTTTAAAAAATTAATGAAAACTTTTTTTCTTTTCTTTCCCCCAATATTTTGAGATTTTCTTTAACTTAACTTTTTTATTGAAAGATCCTATTGTTTTTCTAATATTTACCAAAAGTATATTTGCCCCTTTAGATAGATGTCGTCTTCTTTCAGGCACATTCTCTCCATTAGTTTGTTCGTAATTCTGACGAAGCACGTCCTAAAACAAATACGTGTACATGAACAATTTTATCTGTACCATGCAATAAATATGGGAATAGAATATACATTTTAACCTTTATTGACTTGTATATTATATATTGTATTACGTAGAAGGTTTCCCAATAAACAGATAAGAGACGACATGTATATCATCTTTTTTGATACACACTTTTGTCGGATTTGTTGGACATTTTCTAGCTAGACTTCCTCGCCTAGCTACCCTGGGAAATCACAGATAGAAAATCGGATATTTGTTTTTATAGATGGGTATTAAACATCAAAGACGATGTTTTAGTCCTCTTTCAACTCTTATGCTTAGTAGGCCACTCGGTATAATGTGTTTTGAAGCCTAATTAGGTAAATGCACAGTGATGCATATGTTTGCCAAACCATACGCTGATAATTAATTTAATACTTAATTTGTTCAGTATTCTAAAATACTTGGTTCGTACCCCNCCATTCTTTTATATTACCTGATTTACTTCTTGAGCAAAATAGTTGGCTCGTTGTCTTCTGGCTGCACTGTCCCTTTAAACATTAAACTTTAAATCTAAATATTTAAACCTCTCACTGTCCCTTTAAACATTAAACTTTAAATATAAATATTTAAACCTCTGACTGTCCCTTTAAACGTTAAACTTTAAATCTAAATCTTTAAACCTAAACTTTAAATCTAAATATTTAAACCTCTGACTGTCCCTTTAAACATTAAACTTTAAATCTAAATCTTTAAATCTCTCACTGTCCCTTTAAACAATAAACTTTAAATCTAAATCTTTAAACCTCTCACTGTCCCTTTAAACGTTAAACTTTAAATATAAATATTTAAACCTCTGACTGTCCCTTTAAACGTTAAACTTTAAATCTAAATCTTTAAACCTCTAATTGTCCCTTTAAACAGAAACATTTTTTGCCGCTTCGCTCATCATTTCTAATGGAATTTCTAACTATTTTCTCATTTTCGACTTAAAGAAAGTGAGCTAGTCATTTTTAATGTATTTTCTCAAAAAAACCAGTCTATATGTTACTTCTCATGAGTATTACAATACATAAATCATTTAAGGTTACACAAAACCTGACAACCTAAAAAGAATAACAAGTAACGATAAGGATTGTATTGGACTATTAGGACTTTTGCAGACTATAAGAGGAAAATAGGCAAACAAGGACAGAGGGACTATTTTTGATTATGGACAAAGAAAACAAAGTCTAATACTGCCAGGAACATACTTACTACATAGGACTGCACAGACCTACGGTTAAGGGACTATATAGTGAAAAATAGGACTAGTGGATGAATTACAGAATACTGGTGTAGACTGTAATAGGTAACTTTATATACATAGTGAATATGACTAAGCCAGGGACTAGCAGACACTAAAAATACACGAAAAGACACTAGAAGAACATACACTTTGGCGCTTTGCGCACATGTTTAATTAATTTACTCGTGTCGTTCATTTTAAAGCTGTTGGAAGCATATTTTTTTCAAAGAAAAGAACAAACCATGGATATTCTAAGAATTTCATATATCATTGAGCACAGAGCCAACCCTTCAATTATTAAAAAATGCCGTTTTTTACTTGAAATCCTGAAAACAGCGCTTTCTTTTAGATCGACAGAGGGGGCTAGCCCCCTGTAAGCCTGCGTGATTTGTTTTGTTACATTTTGTATGAATATAAATTAATTTAATTTTAAATTTAATAATTATATATTCTGCAATAATAATTATATATATATGTAATGTTTTCTAGCAAATGAGTTAAATTAGAAAGTTCCATAAATTTCGCGACATTTCGTGATTTTTGTTATTTATTTCCGAAGAATAAAAATCCGTTAAAGTTTAAATTGAAAAGTTCGTTTTCTGATTCCATGAAAACTATTAAGATTTCAGGGGTACACCCCTCAGGGATGTATATTATTAAGATTTCAGGGGTACACTCCTCAGGGGTGTATATTTTTCAGCATCATTTTTGTAGATCCGGGGGGGGGGGGAATAATTATTTATTTTCTCTGGAAAATAATTTTCAAATATTTTTCCGCTCTGCGCATACATACGAACTTCTGGGAGAAAAAGTTATTTTAAAAAAGGAAAATGATTTTTGAAGAAAATATACACCACTGGAATATTGTATATTTTTTAGTAAACTTTTACTCAATCTTTTTATGTTATATAACACTGTAGATACATGAAAATGTATAAAAACTTTAAAAAGTCAATTTCAGTTGTTTTCTCTTTTCTAAATGAACTATGATCTTGACTGTAAAAAATGTAATCCGAATTTAATTAGAATTCAGCATAACCCCCTCTCATTTTTCGTGAACAGTCCCTGTAAGAGTCTCTAAAAATTTGGTCAAAAGTCCCTTTAAAGTTTTGGGTTTATAATGACATAAAGTTCTATAAATCAAACAACTAATTTAGCATAATGTCTTGATATTTATTATTGAATATATATATCATACACTGGGTGTAAACAAATTATGTTTAAATATTTCAAACTGATTTTAAACTTTTATTTATCTAAGTGAATCAATTTCTTGAAATATTCTTCGTTACAAATTTTCTTGAAGAGATGACAAATTTAAATTTAAAATATATTAGAAACTTAGTTAAAAGTTTTCTAGAAAAAATGACCAATTTTTAACACCACGTTTTTTTTAGTAATATGTATAATATTAAATTAACAACTATAGTTTCTAATAGTCTTGATCATTTATTACAACACATTCCCTTGAAAAAAAAGTATTTGATTTGGTTAATAATTTGTTGAACATATTAAATGTTTTAGACTTAAATTATTACAGATCTGACCCTATATATAGTTTATAAATGATGATATAACTTTTCTATTAAAGATTAGAAACTTAGATTTGCAATCGGAGTTGCACAAATATATCAAAGCATCACAATTGATGGAATTATATGTACTTTATAATAAATATTGCGGAATTTCCCCCGATATTTCGTGGTTTTGTCTTTTGAGATAAAATCAGGGGGGCTGGATCTTAGCTACCTCTCCGTGTGTATTGGCCTGAGTGTACACTTGGGATAGTTTACTGATGAAGGATATTACGAGATTATGACCTAATGATACAGTACAAACATCAAATATGCAGTACGCTTTCGGAGTACAAGTGTATGGGGAGGTTTTCTCTCTTGAATTTTACTCAGCTTCTCAGAACAGTTTATTAAGGATGAAATATTGCTCTGTAAAAGACTGTAATAGTACGTATTCCTATGAAAATGGAATCCTGTACACGATAAATGAATAGTGGATTTTAATAGTTACATGGAAAACAAATTCTCCATTTGAATATTTTCAGAAATCACCCCCAGTACTGTTTTATACAGATTGATCTTTGGAAGAGAAGTACATGGCCTGTACAATTAGTAAAGGATTGGCGTACATCATCTCTCTATTTACTATAACCTCGTTGGATAAAATCATGTTCTAGAATATAGCTACATGTCGATAAAAGGGACTATAGGCCAAATTTCAAGTGACCCTTCATTTATAGGCCAGGAAAATAGATATGCCTAGTTGACAACGGTACCCTTTTAACCTTTGTCTGATCATCACCGACAAAGGAATCCGCGTGTTTATATCTTTTTCCAATTATCGGAAAACTGAAAAAAAAATAATATATAAAAAATTGAATGACTGCAGATTTAGGGGGAGAATGTTTTTATATTTTTTTGTGGTGTTAAAGGATTAAGGAAAACTTACGTTTTAGTTTATTAAAATCTACATTATTTTTTTCAACTTTTGTTTGCTTAAAAGTAAAGCTGCGAGTACTTTTATTTAAAAAATTTTATTTTTAATTTAACTTGGTAAATTAAAAGTTCTCATATTTATTCCTAACAGTACTATTTTGAAACTTTGTTTAACTGTGTATAGTAACTAAGTGTGTTCTCAAACAGTTTTTATTGTTAGATCGTGTCTAATGGACAATTGAAAATAATGCTTTAGTAAAACATTATTATTTACCCCCCCCCCACCACTCCTAACCCCCTCCTCAAAGCTTTAAATGGGATCCTTGCTTGAAAGCAAAGATTGTATCTGTATTGGACGGAATTATTCTGTACATAGATCATGGTAGGAAGGTCGAATTTTTTTTGAAACAGTTCCGGCGCTGTCCTAATATTATAAAAATAAAATAAAATGGCACAAATTCATCCCTATATTTTTGCAACACATAATGTCGTAGACCTTATAGATATTTCAAACTATGAATTCTGCTAGATCAAATAGTGTATGTTTGAAATATCAAAGCTTTAAACAATCTGGTTACAAATATGAAGTAATTAGAAAATTTGAGTTTGTGGGAAAGACACAATTCCTTTACGCAAAATCCCAGGAATATAATAGGAATTCCGGGAAAATAAAGTGTACTGCAGTTTCTGGGGGGGATGATTACAAACAGTTTCTGCTTTGTTTACATTTCTCCCAGAAACAATAGTACATATAACTTTGTGGAAGTTCCTTTTATATTTCTTGGAAAAATATATCCCCCACCTTTCATCAATATATTTTGGAAGAATTTTAAATAGATACTGTTATTATTTCTATTATATGTTTCTGTAAAAAATATTGTTCATTAATATATCCTCCATAGATTACCTTGACGCATTATTTAATCATGTGACGCAGATTAGTTTCTATAAATCTATGTATCTCTTGCTTGTATTCTTTTTCCTGAGGGGTATGGTTAAGTATTAAAACTTGCCAAAAAAGTGTATTAATAGGATTAATTCTGAGAAGCTAATTAGTTCGCCAAACAAACCATTATTTCTATTGAAGGGTCATTAAACATTACTTTTTTTCACGGAAGGGTAAACACTTTTTAGCCAATGAAAAACTAAAGATTTTGTTATATATGTTTTAGCAGATTAAGATATTATTATATATCAGTCAGATCTTAATTAACTAAAGATGATAGTATTTATCCTATGTGTATGTTTTTAAAAAACAAAGATGTGCTCATGTATTTTTCATGTCTTCAGAGTAATAAAAACATTGTGAAGAGAATATCAAAGAAACTATTGTCTCACGCAGTGATTTTTAACTCAAAATAATGCGATTTTTCATTTTTCACTTCTGTAAATTCAAATTTGAATAACTATACATCTACTTGTATGTATGTATGAGAAATAATACAATTTAGTTTTGTTCAATTTCGCAAGCTAGATATTCTAGGAAAAATCTTTAGTTTTGCTTATTTTTTTGTCTTAAGACGGTGTGCATCGAACATGGGTAAACTACAGAGGATGGAGTTATGACCGGGGCGTCTAACAAGTTGGTTTTAAAAAGCTCAAAGCCGCAAATTTCCTTCAAAAAAGATTACTGAGATTAAGATCTAGCCACACTCCCTTCCTATGAATATCCATAAATAATAACCCCAAAATATCCATTTCGATTGATCGATTATCTCGAAATATCCAACAATATCCAGCTGTAAATTTAGTAAGTACCGCCCCGGTCGGTCCGGGTCAACACTCCATCCTGTGTAGTTTATCCATGGTTTGGGCGGATGACTATTAGCGAGGGGGCGGTGAAGATCTTAATTATACATACATGTGCTGTATTCTCACAAACATTAAAATATCTTCTCTTTTGTAGACTAAAGACAAAGATCAGCTAGGAGTGCAGACAGAGGTGAAAATATTCCCCCCCCCCACCCCCCTCCACATATAATTTCTCCAGTCTAATCTCTCAAACTTTTTTAAATTAGGAACATTTCGTTCGAAATTTTGAACAAAATCTTATATTTGGGATCTCTTACAAAATTTCACATTCCTAACATTCTGTTAGTTATTTCTACCGAAATCTTTGTAATTTAAAAGAAAATGTTTTTAATTTTACGAAATTCCTTTAGAAGGTTCAATATTACGAAGAAATTGTCAAGGATTCGTTAAACAGTAAATAGATACAAGTTCAAGAGTGCAAAATATATTTGCATTAATTGCTAGGGACGAAATTCAATAAATTGAAGAGAGGCCGCTGAGCTTCAGGTGGTAGCTAGCTCAGCGGCCTGATTTGTTTAATTATACATCTTTTTGTTCGTTCAAAAGCTACTAAAAAGCTGTAATTAATGAAATGACCATTTTATGCTGAAAGCCTTAAAATGTAGTTTGAGACCGAGTTTAAAGAATTTGAGCCGCGGCTTAAATTTGAGACGCGACTCAAATATTATTGGTTTTACTTAAAAGTGTATTTAATGTTTCAAGATTTAAGCCGGCGCTCAATTAAAACCAGATTTTTGTGGATTTCAGACACGGCTCAAATTCATTAAATTCTGACTCTGGTTTCTCACCTGATAAATATGGCTTAAATATATTTACCTAAGAGCATAGTTTACAAGAGCATACTCCATTAGAGCAGAGAATACAAAACCTACACACACTCCCTAAACAATATTAATTATAATTAATTCTTGAAAACTTTCGCAATCCCAACTTTTAAAAAATATTTTAAGAATCCAAAACTGTGAAAACGATAAGAAATTGTAATTAGCTGTGGGTGTAAATTGAAAAAAAATGGTTAACCTTTTGAAGTCTAAATACAGATTTGACGTCAGTGTAAATTTAAAACAGTAAATTTTTGCCAATTTTTGTCAGTTAAATTTTTTTTAGATGTGGGCATTTCCGTTTTTAGAATTTGTTTAATGAAAAGTCCACCACTCTGGGCCGTAGTAAATTTGATTTCGAACACGACCTGCCCAGTTTGTACCGGCCTGCCAGATAATAGCGTGTACTGACCCGATCCTATGGTAGCTCGGTTCTTGACCATATTCTGTACAGTACGTTGCCCTGTGACAACTCCCATGGCGCGTTCAGACTTTTCAGTACCCTGCCTAATCCTTCCTATTTGACCGACCCCACTGGCTTAGTCCACCGTGCCACTCCCCGGTTTAATTAAACTCTGCTCATATTTATATATAGATGTTAGCTATAGCTGGCTATACATCTGGAACAAATTTGCTGACATTTTTTAAGGGAACCAAGGGGTAACCTGAGTGTGGTATAATCTAAAAAATTAGATTTTTTTTGTTCACATTGGATGAACATTAAAATGGAAACTTATTTGGTAAAAATTGTAAGGTTCGTTTAATCAAAATTAAATATTTTGCTACAGTGAGAGCCAGAAAACTATGGTACAGAAAGACAACATTACAGTGTATTTGGTGTCATTACACAGAAAAAAATGATTAGTAACTTACTAAACCACTTATTCAGTTAAATGGGTATGCTTGAGTCTAAAATGTCGTCTTCTTATGCCACAGTTTTCTGGTAATCCTGCTGCATATGAATATTGTAAAATAAAAGATTAAGTTTAAATTCAATTTTCTTAACATTTGAGACTGAAATGTCAGTGAAGTTCAGTTTATGGTATGCCACTACCAAAGTTTAAGTTGAACTTTTTGTTATTGAACGGAATTGCGCAATAATTAATTGCATTTATTACGTGCCATATGGTTCAAATTAAATATTATCAAAAAATTGAAACACAAACGCAAGAAAGTTGGACGGAATTGCGTGCAATTAAATTCACAAGCGCGCAAAGACTCGCTTTTGCGCGCAAGAAATATCCACTTGCGTTGGAAACCCTAGGGACACCCTGTATTTTTATGTTTTTTCCCAACAAAATAATTGCACAAGTTTTTCACTAATCTGTCTTCAATTACTTATTGCAGGAAACCGTGTCAAAAAAAACTTTATTTTAAGCAAGAAAAGATATTTCATCTTTTAAAAATCCAAAACCTTAAGCTTGTGCTATAATTTTGGACAGCTAAATATGTGAGAGATATATCTATCAAATCCACGAAGTTTAAAAGAAACTAGGTTTTCTGAAAAAACGCTATGATTATCTGAACAAAAATAATCAATTTCCCCCGGACCAAAGAAGCTTCGTTGAGCAGCTACATTAGCTTAATTTTGTTTCTAATTCCAAACTTGGGTTGTTAGGTCTATGGTAAAATAAATAAGGAGTCCCTTTTCTGATTTTCATTTTCATGAATTTGTGAATATTCATAAAAATCAAAGAAAATTTTGTACATATTCTTAGGGGGAAAACTAAACTTATTCATATTTAATAATAACTGAGTCCGAATTTAATGAATTTGAATGAGAGTCGCGTCTTAAATCCGCCAAAAACCGGTTTCAATTGAGAGCCGGCTTGAATCTTGAAACATATAATTTTAAGTGGAACCAACAAAATTTAAGCCACGGCTCAATTTTTTAAATTCGGTCTCTGGATGTGTTATATGAGCGCAAATCAATTCCGTAATGAAAATTATGTTGATGGTTTTTAAATGAAATTTCAATCAACAAAACATAACATAATCATATACTCTAGTGTATACACTTTCACTAATAGGGTAAACTACAACGAGCAGCAAACTTTTTAAGAAAAGGAAAAACGAAACCGAGTTTGCCGAAGCTTATTTGGAATAATGAAATTCATTAGAACAATCACGGTGAATTAAGAAAGGTGATTTATTCATATTTTATGTCTGTACATTGAAATACAATTTTAAACCTTTCTTTTCAAAAGTGTGGCCCGATCTTTTTCTGATTTATAAAAATATTATTTATGATTGTTTTTAATATGAATTTATGAAAACAAATCTGACCTGCCAGACATCAATAGCTTTGGTGTACGCTACAGGTGGCAGGGTGGATGCTACACGAGCCGGTACAGCCTATATAGTTAGTAGTTTAATCACCCCTAGTCCTACACGAGCCGGTACAGCCTAGATAGTTAGTAGTGTAGTCACCACTAGTACTACACGAGCCGGTACAGTCTAGATAGTTAGTAGTTTAATCACCCCTAGTGCTACATGAGCCGGTACAGCTTAGACAGTTAGTAGTGAAAACACCCCTAGAGCTACACGAGCCGGTACAGCCTATATAGTTAGTAGTTTAATCACCCCTAGTCCTACACGAGCCGGTACAGCCTAGATAGTTAGTAGTGTAGTTGCCACTAGTACTACACGAGCCGGTACAGCCTAGATAGTTAGTAGTTTAATAACCCCTAGTGATACATGAGCCGGTACAGCCTAGACAGTTAGTAGTGAAAACACCCCTAGAGCTACACGAGCCGGTACAGCCTAGATAGTTAGTAGTTTAATCACCCCTAGTGCTACATGAGCCGGTACAGCCTAGATAGTTAGTAGTGTAGTCACCACTAGTGCTACACGAGCCGGTACAGCCTAGATAGTTAGTAGTGTAGTCACCCCTAGTGGCTACACGAGCCTGTACAGCCTTAGTGTAGTCACCCCTAGATAGTTAGTACTGTAGTCACCGCTAGTGCTACATGAGCCGGTACAGCCTAGATACTTAGTAGTTTAGTCACCCCTAGAGCTACATGAGCCGGTACAGCCTGGATAGTTAGTAGTGTAGTCACCCCTAGTTCTACACAGTACATTATTAGTAGTGTAGTCTAATGCTACACAGGCAAGTACAGTCTAGAATACAGTACATGATCAGTGGTGTAGTCACACCTAGTGCTACACAGGCAAGTAAAGTATAGAGTACAATACATGGTAAGTAGTGTAGTCACTCCTAGTGCTACACAGGCAAGTACAGCCAAGATTATCCTACATGGCCAGTAGTGTAATCACATGTAGTGCTACATAGGCAAGTAGAGCCAAGATTACACAAATGTTATTGTTATCCTTACTTAGATGTCACTTTCAGGCTTATTTTTCAAATATGTTCGTTTGTCTGGTTTGGTTCAAAAAGGTATATTTCTGCCATAGTTCGGTTCAGAAGGCATATCATCAATATGCCTGATTCACCTATAGTTCAATTGAATGGGCACCAGTAATCTGCGTGTTCAAGAAAAAATTAATATTGAAACTGCCAAACTTAATTTATATATTATTCAGGCGTAGAAAATGTCAAGTCTTTCATTCTGCAGAATTAAGGATTCAATACAATACAACTTTATCAAATTGAATATATGTTTATTTTTTAAATTAGAAGAACAAAATTAATATTGCGTTGTTAAAACTGTTTCGTTTTGATGCAAACTGGAAAGATATATTAAAAATATAAAAATATAAAAATATATGATAACATATCATATAAATATAAGTTAAAGTATAAGTTGTTGTCTAGAAGAGGTGTCAATATAAAAGTAAAAGTTGTTGTCTAGAATAGGTGTCAATATAAAAGTA